GTTTAAATACTTGACGTATTAAACCAGAAAACTAATCAAGATAAGAAGGACAAAAATGATTTAAGGACACTACTTCTTTAAAGGTCAAGACTTCAATTGTTTGAGTTCCTTCTCTAAATAAATGCATATAAGCCTAGTACAATGTTAACAGAAAATAAAGTACAGATTTTCATAGACCAATGTACAAACATGCTTGATAATGAATGCCTGTACAAGTTCTGTCAGACAAAAGCTGGAAATTCGTGCAATACGTATTTTAAAGAGAACAACTATTCCGGAATTGGGGTTTCGGGTAAACTTCGCATTTTATCTCAGTCTGTGATCTTTGCTGGAGGACATTTTGTTCAAGTTGAGAAGAAGTCTTCTTCAAAACATAATAGGAAATCAATGTGAATTGGTGGTTACTAATCATAACTTGTGTTCGCGCGTATAGTGTGGTGAATGACTCATAACTGTGAGCATATGCCTCTTGTGTGCAGGAAGAAAATTGCTTTAATATGTTCACTATACTGCTTGAACTAGCTAATCAAGATAAGAAGGACAAAAATGATTTAAGGACACTACTTCTTTAAAGGTCAAGACTTCATGCCGATGCTGCTATATGAGTGATTAAACTCCGCGAACGGAACAGGTAAAATCGTGTAATTAGGTTTCCAGTGGAGCACTGATTCACATTACAGTAGTTTATTCAAGTCTTCCATGAAAATAACTTGAAAGCACTGATTAACATTACAGTAGTTTATTCAAGTCTTCAATGAAAATAACTTAAAAGCACTGATTAACATTACAGTAGTTTATTCAAGTCTTCAATGAAAATAACTTGAAAGCAAATAACAAGTGTGTGGTCATTGAATATCATGGCCGTTCAGTCATCTCATCACGACTGTTACGTCATTTCTTGAAGAATCCGCTGAAGGTCGCGACTTTTCTCGCTCAAGTACTTGAAACAGTGACTTCTAAGTACACACATTTTCATTGAAAAGGCAAACTTGTTACATTTTCCAGACGCGAGAAGCACGTCTTTAATACAAAACCATCAGAGTCTCCCCGGCGAACCGTATTCCTGCAGTTCACTTCGTCATTAACGCCAGAGGGCGGTTTAGTCTCGGAAGGGGCTTGCTCGATTGGGAGCCAAGGAAAATTGTTGACGTTCCCCAAAGGTTCCGGGTGTGTCCGGGGGCAGAAACCCCGGCGAACCCTCCCTCTGCAAACAGGCTCAGAAACACGGGACTACCGTGATGATGCAGTTTTTTGCCAAATTAGGACAAGAATTCATATTATTTATTACACTTCATCTCAAATATGGCTTTGATTTTTCTGGCGAATTAACAAGGGAAATTAAGTTAGTTTGGGGATAGCTCACATTAGATGTAGCATCCGTAGTAATCCGAAGTTGTCGACTTGAATCCAAGTCATGATCCTCCTAAAAACAACTTCTTTTTAACACTGCCCTTGTGTTACAGAGACAATCCTAGAGCGATTTGTCTGAACCATCTAATCGTCATCTTCATCGACCTAGATCTCTAGATTCATTGACAATTGTTTTTGGATGAGAAGCGAATGGGCTGACAAATCGGTTAGAGATAAGGCATTACAGATCTCGTAAATGTCGAAATTAAAGATCAGTACTTGATGATGTAGCTACGATAATGTCGTGCCATTTTCTTTAGAATAACATTACGATAAAGCAAGACTCAAATTATAGACTTATCGAAAATATGAATTAGGTATTAAAAATTTCAGTGATCTAGCTACAACATCTTTTCACTAGCTACCATGATTTTTTTTTCTAATTCAGCCTGTAGCAGAGGTGAATGCCCTCAAGAAAAATGCTGCCTGACATCGCACTTTTAACTTATAGGCGCGGAAATGTGCATCTTTCTCTCTCTCTCTCTCTCTCTCACACACACACACTCTCTCTCTCTCCCTCCCTTGTATTCTATTCTGTGTGTTTCTCTCTTACATAAACACACTCTCTTCCGTCCTGCTTCTCTCCCTCCCCTTCATTCTCATTCCATCTCTCCTAAGAATGTAAATCTTTCTTGTTAAAAACCCAATCCATCATGATTAAAATCTCTTAAATTGACTCCGAGTCGCTAATCGGCCTCTGAGATAATCGGGAAGGAAACGTGCACTTGCACCCTGTGTCTAATTCTCTCCAGCTAGCCATTCTTGCCACTGGACACTACCTATCGTGAATAATATATATTCAGCTCATTATAAGCTCGTATTGTCTCAGGCCACCATTAGCAGTGACCAGTGATTGCCACACCGGCCAATGTTCGGCCAGACCTCCATTAATGGCCAATGAATTATTCATGAAGACGTGTGCAAAATATGCTTGAAATTCGCCGACAAAATTGTAAAATTGTAAGGAATAGGGATGCTTTTATTAATATATGCCCCATTTTAACTGTTTCTATATCCTTCTTAATATTTATTCGAGATTTCTATCGCCTAATGTATTGTACGATTAAAACGTCCTCACCGTTATAAAAAAAAAAAGATACAAGAGGAATATCATTTTTTCTATATGCTCTGCCATCAACTTTGTCCGTACGTTTCACATTTTATTCTACAGATTTGTATGATATTTCTGAAACATAGATCATTTTCAAAAGACACAAATGTGTACCTGCAATAAAATGAGAGATATTTAACCCGACTTCCAAAATTATCAAAAGTGATTTTTGAAAGCAATTTAATGTTGTTCTCCCGTTAAAAATAGAAAGAAATCTAATATGCTCACTAGTAACATACAAATGATGACAGGGATTCGTTGTTAATGAATTCACATTCCTCATTAATGAGATGAATCCATTCACTCACTGTGTGATCATTATTGGAGCATTGGAGGGAGGGAGGAGAGGGGGAGAGAGGAGAGGGGGGGAGAGAAGATGGGGAGCGTCTTGGGGGAACAGCGCGATTAGCAGTTCCCCAAGATAGCGAGATATCCCCATGCATAATTCCGATCTCGGTCCTTACAATGAGCGACGTAGACGGATCATTCCGCTATCTCGTCCATATGATGATGGAGGATGGGCATAGTTGTCGCGATAAGAAGGAGATAGATCCTCCCGGAGATACCCCCTTGCTAACGCATGAAATTTACATTGTAATCATGTACGAGCAAGGTAAAGGAGACATGCCAAAAGATGGCAAACTTTTCGGGGATAATGCGTAGCATCATGACCCAATTACATCACGATATCCTACAGAATTATCTGCTCATGTTATGACAAAATTGCATAACTCATTCATATGCTATTTTTGTTTGCAAAGGTTGCATGATTTGTTGTCATAGAAACAATGCAAGTGAAATGCTTAGTAGAGGATTCCTAATTGATGGATCTTGAGTGGTTCGTGCGTGACATTACAGGGACACTAAAAATCGTGCGTAAAGTAGGCTAATCTTTGAAGTGTGTTCCAGTAATATTTGCGTATGGCATTTTACAACGTACAATAATCATCCCATTCCAGATTTCTTTCAGAAAACTGTTTTGAAGGATTACGTTGATAAAACTTCTAGTCATGATGAAATCCCTGCATGAATTATCACCGGTGATACTTTGAGAGACTAAAAAGGAGTTAAACACTCTTCATGCAATTTGTCCCCGCTACTTTATAGCTTCAGATTTAATATTGAAATCAACGATAAAGCCACCCATTAGCAAGATGAAATTCCAGCTTTAATTAACACTAATTCCCGGCAATGAAGGCATGCTTTTTATTGCTAGGTGACTGCGAGTAGGTTGTCAAATACTTCTCTTGCTGAAAAGGATACAGATGTCTAAGCCTGAATTATTTATGATGGGCGAGAGAGATGGAGAAGATTTGAAGATCGTGATGCTATCTTTTTTTTTCTCTGAAATGTTCATCCTCTCGCTTACCTCAAGTACTTTAATTCTGCTTAAAGATAAACTTGAGTTCTGGTAAAAAAAAAAAAAAAAAAAAAATTAATTCTCACAGAATCAAACGAAACTTACACTGAATGTTCAAGATTACAAATAAATGTCATGTGCCAAACAATTTTGGGAAAAAATGTATACTGGCTGAGTAATGAGCATAGCAAGATAAGAACATCAGGTAGTACTAGCCCCGACACCATTTGTGTAGTCCCATAATATGTACATCTTTCTGTGTACAGTGCTTGTTACTTTACCAAGACTGGGCCAAAATTATTATGATTTTGATGACTCCAGAACCTTGCAGTGCACACCAATACATTTTACATAGTCAACTTTTTCTGATCCATTCCACACCTTTTCTTTCACAATGCAATTGCACTTCCAGTACTCACCTTTATCTTAAACGTTACCTTCCGTCCTTCTATCATATTTATCTATCGCCTTGGTGTATAGGCCTATACGTCATGCATAATGGCCTTTCTTATATTATATAGGCCTACATTTATCTACGGGTATCAAAATATGATACAGGTACATTTCAAAAGATGGGTCATAGTAAAAAATGATATTACATGTAGTATAATGATTATTTATCACTTGACAAAAACAGCAGTTACTCGTACAGAGAGAAAACCCCTATTTCTCAGTGAATGTCTCTTTAAAACACTACATTGACCGCTGAAAAGTCGAGAACTTCTCAAATGTAAGTTTATATTTCAATAATAAGAGTGCGTAAAGAAGAATTGGTTTAATGATAAAACAGACCTCTTAACCCACAATTCATATCGTTTTGATCATTTATTTTTTCTTTGCCGATTATATCATTCAGATATTGACAAGTATTCAGACTAAACACAGATGCCGCCCATTTTCTTGTTGACTTCAAACATGTATCTGTTGTCGCTCATGACAACCTAACCCAATTCTTGAAGCTCATCTCTAATCTTCACTTATGAGTGATCAGACTCGCGAGTCCGCTTTGGTTTCGCTATTATTCAACAATGGAACTATACCCTGTTTTTGCATTGGATTCATATATATGTGATGACTAAACCACCGTTTCTACCTCTCTTTTCTGTCTCCCCCTTGCAGGCGAGGCGATACATTTAGCTCGCGATTTCGGTTACGTGTGCGAGACAGAATTCCCTGCCCGGCAGGTCTCTGAGTACGTCCTGAGACAACACTCCGACCCTTCGGAGATTCAGACACGAAGACAAATGGTGCTAGCGGCCAAGTAAGTTCCAAGGGATGCTCCTCGAACGTGATACCGCGTGATACCGCGTGATAACGCTTTCATATCGGTGTTACGGTATCAATGATCATGCCATCTAGGATATATGTTGAAGGGCAACACAATAACAGATTTTGTCAATCTGGTATCATTCTGGATCTCTCTGCAGTATTAAAATTCCAAAATAGATTTATGTACTCTTACATTTTGGATGCAGTTTCCAATTAGGTGGCTACAGAAAGAGTTTCCTTTATATGTGTAGTAGAACACACTTCCAACGAGATTACATCACTTCAATGACGGTCTTTACATAATTACAAAGGGTCGGTTTAATGTTCCTGTTGAATAGAAATTTGGCAAGGTTATGTTATCTTTATTCCTTCTTTCTAATACTTTCCACAGTTATGAAACACTTTAGGGATCAAGCTAAAAGTTTTAGCTTGGGAATGTTTCTTTTTAATGGATTATAGCCGTTATATATTACCAGAATATTGTGATGGTTCTTGAGTTGACTCCACGAGTCATACAAAACATACATTTCATACCAGGAGTTATTAGAATGAAGGGAAAATCACATTTTCTTCAAATTTCTCTATCACTTTTCTGTATTTTCACAGACAAATTACAAAAGAGCTGCAGGACGTGCTATGCCAGGATCGTACACCCATCGGTAACACACGACCGCAGCCCATCCTTGAGCCGTCCATTCAGCGCTGTCTCACGCACTTTAGCCTCATCTCACACGGCTTCGGCACGCCGGCCCTGTCGGCCTCCTTCGCCACCCTGCAGAATGTCCTGACCGAGATGCTTAAGTACATTGAGAAGGCGTTTCCCAACAGTATTCCACCACACCCCACCGCACCCAGCTCCGGTGGCAACGTCGTCAACAAAATGGACGGCAGCCCATCGAAAGGCGACGATAAAAACGACAATCGCGGCAAGGACATTGTATGAGGAAGGATTTTCCGTCGAACAAAAAAAGAAATCGCGAAGAGGCCAATCGCTTCCCAGACGTGGACACATTTTAGAAACAATTTGGACACCTATGTCACGTGACCTGGAGTGGCGCACAGGAGCTGACGGTGCCAAAGATGTTCAAAGGACTATCTTCTCTTTGCAGCAATGTGCTGAGTGGTTTTTACAACAGTTTCGGAGGCAGGGTTAAATACATTTTACATTTAACAAAATTAAGAAGGAAAATTAAATGTGTTTATATATAGTGTATGAAAGATGTCAGAGAAATTTGTTTGATGGATTTTTGAAAAAAGATAGAAGATTGTTGCTGTTGTTTTTCATTTTTGGTTGACTGCCCACCCTCCCTGTACAAAGGTTATTTGATATGGTATAATGTACATAGATGTCATTCCTATGGTGGTCGTTTAATGGCTTGCCTATGGTAGTAAATACAAAGACAATCGCGGACAAGTGCAAATCTGAAGATTTAAGGGGGCGGAAGGAGGTCGCAGTTTTATTTGCCTGTGGTGTTCCGTGTTAGCATGCGTTGCGCTAGCGGGCTTAAGCCCTTCTTCACCGTAGCTCCATTCGACCATGTGCTGATCTTACGTTGTTCATGGACTCTGAGAATGTACGGGTTAATTGGAAAGCTACAGCACACTGCTAGCTGAATTCGCTTAAACAACTCAACCCTGGAAACCTAAACCAGGATATCGACAATCAAACAAGGTAGTTTTTAAGTTTTATTTTCATATTGTGCTTATTTCACGTCCAGATACCCAACCCACCGAGAGCTTTATGCTCACAAACGTCTACCCAAAGATCAAATAGAAAAAGAACTTTGTTACAAGTGCTTTATTATGATTACTGTAACAATTAAATAGGTGTAAACACGATCGCATTGACTTTCGATAAATCAACTCAAAGCAATCGTAGAATCCATGCCCACCATCAGTTAATATTCGAAGATTGATATGACGTATAACGTAACCCTAATGAATTTTATTAGGGTAGTGAAATTGCATTTGAGTTGATTTCTCGAAAAATCTTAGCGATTTTGTTTAAACAGATATATGATACAATTCATTACTGAGAATAATCCGTGAATCTGTGACATGAAAACACGCTCGGGTAAATTGTTAGTACAAACCAGTGGTTGCCCACCTATTTATGTGCCAAAAAAAGAAAGTATTGTATTCGTGTTATATGACAGGATTGTGTTTACATTGTTTATGAAATTATCAAACTATTTTGCAGAAGCGTGACAATCATTTTGCTCTTATATAAGCATTTCAAAGTTGTATTCACCGGGAACAGGAAATACCATGCTATGGATTTTATCATGAAGAGTAGATAATTATGTCGAAGTAGTGTGAATTTATATTGTTATAATGAACGAGGTATACACAAGAAGAGAAAAAACAGACGCGAAATCAAAAACCATTTGATTAACGAGAAGACAATAACAGCAAGTTGGACTCAAAGATGTGTCTTTTTAAATAATGTTATGTTAACTTCAGCTCTTGACAATAAACTGGCGACAATCATTTTTATTTTACTGGTGTAGAAATGTACATAATTTTCAGATTGCTATGGGAACATTGCTCCCACGTTTAGTGTTAGGTATCAGTGGAAATAACAACGTGTTTTTTTAAGTAACAGTCGTGCAAAGCGTGTGTTTCAATAACCTGTTTGTGTTAACAAAATGCGACGAGACCGATTTTTTCTTTCTTTCCCTCCTACGAATTCCTCTTTGTCTAAAGACGGTCAAATTCGTTATTCAACAAGGACCACTGGCCACATGAAGGGCACGTAATGGTACCTTTAAATTTGTCTATTTTCAGGGTATGCAAAGCCTTGGAATTTCTGAGAGGTACAAATTCTTATCCAACTCTATAATTCTCAAAGTTCACCAATTATTGTGGAACTTGTAATCGCATGCTAATGATCTATTTTTCTTGGTTAGAAGTGGATAAGGATAAAGTTCATATGTGGGGGAAACACACTTGTTGGAAGAAGGTTTTGTCGTGTCGTATCGTTCGTAAAATTGTGAATGTGTGAACGCAACCATACTACAGAGAACTGTGTTTCGTCCCCTAGTACGATGTATTGCCGATGCTCCTACTTTTCATAATTCTAAAGTTAATCATCTTCATAACTTCGATAAAATATTATCAGGTTATGAGATGATATGGATATTTTACTTGGTCTATGCAATATGATACAATCGAGAAATGATTTTGGCAACGTAGTATAAGTGCCACCGAATATTCAACCATTATGCTATCTGAATAGGCTTACACATTTAACCGTCCTGTAAAAGAATAGACTGACCTTTCATATATCTTCCAAATACAAATTCAAATGACATGAAATGCAGGAAGCATGTAATCCTTTCCAATAGAAGTGAGTGACGTAACAAATTACTACAAATTTGTAACCAAAGAGGGCAGTCAATTTTAATTTTATTTCATTTTTAATCACAACAACATACAGTTTGTGTTCTTGTTTTATGTCGTGTTCGTTCTGTTTGTGTTTTATATCTAGTCCAGTGTCTGTTTCTATGGCTGGACAATAATATAAACAAACATTGTTTGATAGACAGAACTTTGTATAAATAATTACGGATGAAATGGTTGTTCTACTGGTGAATGGTCTTGTTAACTGCCAAAGTTTTTATCATTGAATGCAAATCGAGAGGACTGTATCGAATCATCCCACCGTATGAATGTGTCGAGTCACGTGACTTCCAAAAATGGCGGCCGGTGTATCGCAGTATTTATATCATAAACGCCATACTACAAGAAATTACAAAACAAATCAGTCCTGAACATTCACGATAATATACTTCTTCATTTATTTAATGAACCGTCATTTATTTAGCCAGTAATTGTGTTTTTGAAATCCCATAGGTGGAAAATAATAAGCGTTTTAGCATACGTACGTGTATTTTAGTTTAAAAAAGCTACGTTTAATGTTTTGTTATTACCCATGTTCTTAAGGCAATTATTTAAGGTCCTAACCACCGACCAAGAACATTAGGTGATCATTCGAATTCTCAATGGTTGTTTATGTTTACCTCCATTTGAATAATGTTTTATCATAGGAAATCAGGTGGCGACTCACAAATAACTGACCGTATAAATATATATGTCTTGCCTTTAAGTATGGACTCCGACGAAAACCTTTATTTTTTTTTGCAATTCAATTTATTCCTTTAAAATAATTTTTAAAGATATTTTCTCAAGCCATGAAGTTTCAACCACCTAGGATTTTAGATTGAATCAGATGACGGGTACACACCTAGTCATATCATACGAATGTTCTTGATTTCTCATTTTCTATTTACAATGTACAGTGAGAATGTTCTAAAGATAAATGGACGTAGTGAATTTAGAAAAAAGGACAAAAAATACATTTTTGCAGATTTGTACGGTATGAGATTACGTGTTGATGAGAGAGAAAATGTTTTTACGTGTAGATTATTCATATGTTGTTCTCCATTTATTGAGTTGGATTTTTTTTTCTCAATAAAAAAAAAGAACTGTAGTTGCCATAAAGCAGCATAGAGTTCACACTTTGCGCTTGCTTCAAGCATTATTTTTCATTTTCCGCACATAGCCAAAGTCGCAACTTCCATATTCAGGTCTAATTCGGGACAAAAGATTTTCTTAAATCAAGTGATAGGAATTTCCCCATTTTCAACATAAGAATAATCAAAACGATATCATTTTGCACTCATCTATGCTCTCACTTTAGTCTTATTTCATTTCTAGTTCTACATGTGGTCAACTCCTTTTGAAGGTGTTATTAATTTAAGGTGGTACATTTTTAAAAGTTTATGTTTTAATATGATCTGTGCCAACTGAATGCTCGATGTCTGCACAAGCATATGCACAACAACGCCAAGACATATTCCACAAAGCTTAATGTCATTTCTCAGATATTTGTTATTTATAAATCAACCCAAAACGTTTTTAAAGCAAGCGTTGTGGAGAGACGATAAATAACATACAAATCTAAAATTGTTTTTAATCCATTACTTAATGATAAAATGCCACGAAATAATTATATATCGGTGCATGAGCATTGCGCCATTGTTTGCCTGCCTCACCTTGTGTTTGCATGTACTTTAAACAATGCAAAATAAGTTCAATCGATCAAATTGTCTTTCGCATATGATTTCATCAGCAATGTGGATCAGAAATTCTCTTTTGAAACAAAATAATAATGGGAAGGTTTTATGAATTTATTTCAACTATTTGTCACGTTGATCTTTTATTTTTCTTCTTGGTTGAAATAAGTATTGCGTTTTACCAACTGCAATAGTTTGTTCTTTTATGCGCAAACTATTACATCAACCTAATCAGTATTCTACCTATTGTAGTGATTCGATGGTCTTATTTTGCTGATCCCTCCACGAGCAATGAAATGTATTGAATGATCAAGGACTGTGGCGGTATCAGCGAAATAATTTGAATGCGTCTGCTTTGTGTTCTGCTAATTTTAATAATGCTCTTTCATTTTGTTGGTTAACTTAATATCTTCGATTGTTTGTGCTCTCAAGTTGTATGTCTCTAAATTTGAAGAAAAAAATGGTGGAGTTGATCATATTTGGGGGTCATCATTGAGTTTGCTTTTGTGATGTCGGAGAGACACTCTGGTGAATTTGGTGATCGCCCGCCTGACTCTGTTGTATTCAGATGGCCATATGTGAGGTGCATCATTATTATTGTGTTGAGCGACAGATATGTCTATTAGTTTGTAAACATTTTCTGTAGATTATTATGAGTTGAAACCTATCTGAGGAAAGATATCGTAAATAAAAGTTGAAAACCGAAATATCTCAGAGATTCCATTGCGTTTATTTCGATAGGGAATTGTTTTCCAAAAATGAATTGATGTGTATGTGTGACCGATGCTGAGGTTGTATATAGGGAATGTGTATGCGGATAGGAGCTACACAATCCTTAACCAACCAGACATGCTAGAACAGAGAGAGAGAGAGGGGGAAATAACTTTAATAAAGAGAACAATAATATAAAGGAATCCATTCAGAAGCACAGGGAGTTAGAGAGAGAGGGGGAGATAACTTAAAGAGAACAAGAATATAAAGGATTTCATTAAGAGGCACAGGGAGTGAGAGAGAGAGAGAGAGAGAGAGAGAGAGAGAAGGCAGGGAGGTGGAGCTATGGGTTTCCTTAGAGGCTGCAATCTTAATTATCAATATCTAATTATGTAAAGACGAATAAATGTCTTAAATAGTTGGGTTTATCTGGTACATTTTTTTTCTTTTCTTTCGAATGCTGGATGACAAATAACTGACCTTGAGGTGCATAACATTGGACAAATGGTTTGTGTCATTCGTCCTATAATTTCAATTCTGATTTAAAAGAAAACACATGTATAAGTGACCAGTCGTTGTTTACTTATAAAACAAAAATAAAAGTACAGTTGTGACATACAAACATACGCAAACAATCAACATTTTTTAAATGTTTATTTAAATTTAGTTTTGCTATTTATCCTTATCACAAACAGATGAATACATTTGTATAAAGATTTAAACAATGTAAGTTGTATTCATAAATTCCGTTACTTGTCCAAACTACTCACCCATTACTTTCATAGGTAGCTTACAGCCAGATATAAAACACCGGAATCATGACAATAATCCCACATAATGATGATAATAATAATTCCAAAAAACTATATATTGTATTTGGCTTTTCTACAATCTTCAAGCTTCAGCAATTTACAAGATGCACCGAGATGCACGGAGTGTGGGATAGGAAGTGATGCACCACATACATTCTTATATTCGAACGGCAAGACATTTTATATGTATATTTGTATCGCCTCTTGCATTTTGTTAACGGAATTACGTGGAATGGCTATATGAATACATCGTGCCTACCAGTGAAAATCATATAATTATAATATTGTACGGTCTGAAATTTAGAAGCTGCAGATGGTTGATAGCAATTTTGTTAAGAAACGTCAGCCACCTTGGTGAATTGCGCCCCTTCGACCACGTCATAAACAAACATTTGAATTCTCTTGCGCGGCTCACATAAAGATATTGTCATTATTCCTCATGTTTTCAGGTCCACTTTTCATACATGCTTTCCTCGACATCGAAAATGTACGTGAGATCACCGTTTGGCATTACGACCGACATCGGTGACGCTGGTCGACCACCATCACCGTCATCATCCCAAGCTACTGTCGACCTCGTCTCGTTCTTTGTGGTAGGGTCGAGCTCGAGTTCGTCTGGAGTAACTTTGCTTTGTCTGTTTTCGTGGACATAGTTTAAAAGAAGTGTGTGAAAATAAAATGGGATCCATGTTAAATGTTATTTTCAATTTTATTCAGTTTGACAAATATGCTTGATAGGAGGGATGGTAGATATTTAGAATAATAAAAAGAAAACGAAAGGAAAACTACAATAGCTGAAGACAGAAAATTATGCAGAACGTGCGTCTCAAGGTCAATTTCATTGTCGCCCAAATAGCCTCCAAGCTTCCCAGCTACCATGAGGTAGAGATAGATAGTTAGACAGATAGATAGTAGGACTTAACTCTTACCCATTTAAGGAAAAACGTTATTGAAGAATAATCATTCAAAGAATTGAATTTTGTAAAGAGGGTACACTTCTCATTTCTAATCGATATAATGCGTTGAATGCTACCATATAATTATCCATTCCAATGACAATAATATAAATAAAATAAGGGTAATATGAAAAGATATTCACCTGTGTGTAAGCCAGCAAGTGACGATAGTGATGGCGATCAACAAGATGAAACCGAGAACGGACAGGCTGGCGATGAGAGCAACTGTCATCAAGTATATTAATATGATAATACTGATAATATTTAGTTAATCCAGGGAATCCTCATCAGCACCAGTGCTGTTCTTCAAGAGGACCCTGCAAATATATTAACCCAGTAATTGCTAGGTACCCATTTATACTTAGGATCGAAAGTGAATTTAAAGTTTTACCAAAGGACATTAGTGCCGGCTGTGATTGGCCTCCTAAACCCTTCAATTGAGCGTCAATTGAATGAACTACTATTATAGCACAACACCTCTAAATAGCATAAAGATACTCATGTAATTACCCATTTTTAATAATGATTCAACAATTCGGTCTCATATAACCAGGAAAGCGAAATCAGTAAGAAAACTGCTTATTCTGGGTCGGGGTCTTGCAAATGTTATCACCGATTTAAAACAACTGGGTCAGTGAAATCATTGTCTCTAAACATTAAAGGGAAAAGTGGTAAGCTCGACACAATCTGACAATGTGAAAATTGATAATATACCATAAAATCTCTCACTTCTCATTTTACCCATAAAACAACCCAGTTGATTTATATTTTTTCAAGTTTGTACTTAGACAGCATTTACAGAGGCTAAAGGAATGATAATGCCCACAGAAGGCCATAACTCCAAATAATGTATTATTTTCGATGGTGATATGATTGCTTCTTTTCAATAAAGCGATCTTACAGTTTTGGTTTAAACATGATATTTATTGGCCTTGTGAAGAGCTCACACTTAGTTATTGACATATTCATATCATACCTATACTTATAGAATCAATACACATGTGGGCATATTTCACTACTTTTAAATGAAAACAGTTTTGAAACTTACCATTCGCTTTTTCACCGGATGATTCTGCAAAACAAACAAAAAAATTATGTGTAATACGATTCTCTGATTGTTTTTCCTCTTCCAAATGTAGCTAGTCAGAAGAATGACAATTGAGTATAGCTTTAAATTATTGACGTGTTTGTCGGAATATAATCTTTGGATACCACCTTTATATTAGAAATTCTTCTCTGAAATATTCATATAATAATCTCTTTTTTTTTAGTAATAATCTTTTAAAGTCCACTCCAAATCCTTTTCGCCCAATTGATCGTGAGCCCGGCAGCCTCTGAGCAGCGCCAGATCGACGTTGCTCTATCCCTTATTGTTGAACGCCAAACAAGGTAGCAGCAACTCCCGTCTTTTAACGTCTTTTGGTATGACACGGCCGGGGGTTCGAACCCACGACCTCCCGGTTGTGAGGCGGACGCTCTACTGACTGAGCCAACACGCCGGTATAAACCTTCTTTATAATGTTTACCTGGTGGATAACCCAACAAAAAACACGTAGATGAAACCTTTTAGTTTATACCACATCTCAGAAGACAGGATTCGAAATATAATAATGTCACATGAATCTAACTGAAAGCCAATTGCGAGTGACTTGAGATGCTAGTTCAGAATAGTGCACTATTGAAGTAATGCAATATACAGTAAACACGGGTAATGTTCGTTAAAGATAATATCTGTCCCTACCAGTTTACATAATACTCATGTATAATTATGGGGTGTGGATGACTCTGTGCTTGGAGCTGTGTTTACAGTACGTACGTTTTCATTCTAAAGCTATACAGTGCGTCCCAGAAAAACGAAACCGAGAATTATCGATGTTTTATCATAGCTTAATCACAAGTATAATTAATACATGACACATATTTGTAAAGCTTAGATCCTCCTCTTTCATTTGATGCAACTCATACGATGCATATTTCACGCCTGAGTGATTAAAAACAATTCGAAGATAGGGTACCCAAAAGTCATTAGGCGGGCGGTATCTGAATTTCAAAGAAAAACAAAAATCACATTTCTAAAAAGTTCATTCTCTGCTCTTTCATATGATACCTCAATCAGAAAAAAATGAGCCAGGAATAGCAAAGTTCTGTTTGTTAAAAGTAATGCTTGCATTTCCATAATTTAATTAAACGATTTCGTTTTCACTGGCTGCCTTCCGTAGCAACAGACAAAGTTGATAAAAGACTTAACTCCGTTTCGTTGACGATCAGCCATGAGCAAAGAAGACTAAAGACTTGAAACATGCATCATATGAGTTGCATCAAATGAAAGAGGAGGATCTAAGCTTTACAAATATGTGTCATTTATTAATTATAATTGTGATTAAGTTATAATAAAACATCGATAATTCTCGGTTTCGTTTTTTCTGGGACGCACTGTATATCACCATTGCCAGCTTACTTTTTTCGCAGTGGATCCCGTCGTAGCCTTTTGGACATGTACAGCTGTAAATGTTGATTGAGTCCTTGCATGTCGCTCCATTCAGACAAGGATTGCTCAAACATTCATCGATTTCTGAAAAATAGTAATATATGAGTTGACTAATTTATTATAATAGACTTATGTTTCATTGTGTCGAAGGTATATCATCACTATTTAAACTAACTGACCGTAAAGATAAAGGTGAGTTCTGGTAATGCTATTGCATTGTGAAAGAAAAGGTGTGAAATGGATCAGAAAAGTTGATCATATAGCATGTAAGTATTGGTGTGTAATGCAAGGTTCTGGAGTCATGAAAATCATCATAACTTTGGCCCAGTCTTGGTAAAGTAACAATCACTGTACACAGAAAGATGTATATGGGACAACACAAAGGGTGTCGGGGCTAGTACTACCTTGATTTCCTTATCTTTCTATGCTCATTACTCAGCCAGTATACATTTCTTCCAAAACATGACATTTATTTGTAATCTTGAACATTCAGTTTAAGTTTCGTTAGATTCTTTGAGAATTCATTTCTTTTTTTACCAGAACTCAAGTTTATCTTTAAGTGCACATTGTGAAATTACAAATATACATTTGTGATCCTAAACCATTTGAAGAAGAAAATCTGTGGTGATAGATTTTGCGATATGTTCCGGTCCGTTATCATGGTAAAACTGTGGTAATGCTTTCAGAGAGAGGGGGATATTGCATGCATTGGTATGATAACCTATATAATGGTAGAACAGTGGTATACATACATTATAAAGTGTATTCAGTGTACCAAGACCAAACAGAAAAATCCAATATGTGTCACGATTGCGAGTTCCCAAATGTTCTATCACTTTATTCCATGGTCCTCGTCAGGAAGGTTAATAAAGTAATATAAAGAAATGTGCTGCCTTTATATAGTTTGGGGGTTTGACATCAAGCTACAAAAGAACAAAATATTAGTAAAGTAAGCCTGTGTAACTCACAATCAGGAGATATGTTACTGGCATGACATGCCTTGGCAGATACCATGGGTACTAAACACCTGACTCCAGGGTCACTATTTAAAAAAAGGAAGTGACGCAATGGCAACATCTACCTTTGCGCTATGAAGATAATATTGCTTTTAATGTATTTAATGTTCTGGAGAAAAATAAAGTCATTCTTACCTTGTTCACACTGACTCCCCTCGTAGCCATCGAGACAGGTGCAAATGTATAAATTAATATAGTCTGAACACGACCCTCCATTCTGACAAGGGCTGCTAAGACACTCGTCAATCTCTAAATGAAAGAAACGAAGGAAGGTTTATATGTGTATCATATTTTGACATTTTATTATAGCATTATTATTGGGAGTTGAGTAAATCATATTAAATTGAGATGGAAAATCAGTATAGGCATACGAAGATAATAAGTTATGATGAGAATTACAAGTCATAAAACCACGCAATTTTTTTCAATTCCAGTAATCCTAGCCTTACCATTTTCACAATTAATTCCATCATAGCCAAGTGTACAGGAACAGTTGTAGAAGTCAGCAATATCAGTGCAGGTAGCTCCATTCTGGCAAGGGTTGCTGAAACATTTGTTGATTTCTACAAAGTCAAAAGAATATCACAGTTAGATTTTACAGGCGCGGTCATTAACATTACATGTATGTTATATCGCAATGTTATCACAAGAAATGACCCCACTAAGCTTGCCTAAAGTCTAATGGACACATCATGTAATACTTTTGACTTTCTAATAACCGTTGACTTACCAATTTCACAGTTAACACCGTGGTATCCTGCTTTGCAAGTACAGTTGTAGAAATCTATTTCATCCGAACAGGTAGCACCATTGTGACAAGGATTGCTCAAGCATTCGTTGATATCTGTGTAAATTAGTGAAAACAATTGTAAATTCACTTTGGAATGGCTGGAAATGTGAAATTTCATGTACTAATTTTAGTAGGCAATAGATTGTACAAGTAAATATTAATTTTTACCGGTCGTGAATAATTGATTATATTTGTATCATAGCTGTTACAACCACTTAGTCTCAGCCAACACAAAACATTGTATGCTTTCTAAAAGAGATCAAAGTCTTTATGGCACTGTACTTCAAAAAAAGAATATAATGATAATGCAAAGCAGAAATTCAAGAATAGAATTTAGTACAGGAGGGCCCCGTTGCACAAAACATACCATTGATGGTAACTTTGCCATCAATGGTAACTACCATGGAAACTTTGATTTTGATTGGTCGTTGAGCCCTGTTACCATGGTAGTTGGAAAGGTTAACATATATGGTAAGTTTTATGCGATTGCATTGTTAAAGTAAAAGTTTGGAAGCGATTGGAAAAGCTCGATCATGTAGCAGATATGTATCGGTGTATACTGTGATGTTTTACATCAAAATAAAACGAAATTGCCCAAGATTTTGTCAATGTCCCATACACTATGCAAAGAGATGTGTATATGGAACTACATAAATATGTGGCATGAAAGTGTGGTCCACAACCTGTAGCTGTTACTTGTCATATTTTAATTATAAGGGCATTTGGAGAGCCACCATTTCTAAGGAATATTTTATTATGATACTCTTCCACACTAACAAAAAAATGAATGACATAGCTCCACTTTTTTCTTCAATTTTGAATGAATGGTGGAGGTTAATTTACCTGACTGCTAAGAAAGCAACCAGACGGCCAACGGATTCGGGTCTTCTCCGAGGGACCTGGTGATGAGGATTAATGCCTTACCAAAGGGCACTGGCGCATCGCCTTGGTTTCGAAACCGGGTCACCGGGTTAAAAGACCACTGCTCTACCGACTGAGCTATCGCGCCTCCCAGAACACAATAGTCTCTTTAAAAATTCGATTTGCTTGTTACGACTTTGACACTTACCACTTTCACAATTGATACCATCAAATCCAGGAATACAAGAACAGTTGTAGAAATTGATTTGGTCCGAGCACGTAGCACCACTTTGACAGGGATTACTTAAACATTCGTTGATATCTGTAAAAAAAAATATCAAGTCGGCAAATGCCTTAAGATTATCACATCAATACACATAAAGCAATTGTGAATCTATGTCAACTGTGTGTAATGAATACCTACACTCTGTAATTGATCATTTTGTTGAATAGGAATCTAATTTCAACATTTCACATAATTATTCAAATTGAGTGATATAGCGAGGAACAAATTGTGATTAACGCAAGCCATGATATTCTGTGTTCTGATTTAGATGATCAAATAGCATGTACCCATAGATGCAACTTTGGAATAGAACAAGGTACATGTCTTACCATTTTCACAGTGAGGCCCATCATAACCAGCCTGGCATGAACAGTTGTAGAAGTCAACAAATTCCATACAGGTAGCTCCGTTGTAGCAAGGATTACTAACACATTCGTCGATTTCTACAAAAGTCAAAGAAACATACATGTAGGAACATTGACATTGACGGTGATCGCAGTATCTCAACCAAAATGCCAAACCGACATCAAAGCGATTAAAAACCGACCGATTCTTGGTCATCAAAGGTAAGGTATTGTTTTTTTCAATCTAGTCAGTGTATATCTTGTGTCGGCATCGTTGGTGTAAAAGCTTAATTCGAATCATCAGGTCATCGCGTCTGGTCGGGTGGTAGGGTTACCCAACCTTTCGTGAAAACATACCCCCTCACGAAATGTTTGTGTAGTAATCCCCTCTCATCATAAAATGGTCTGGTCCAATTTACCCCACCCGTTGTGAAAACCCCAAGGCGAATCTACAAAAGGTCGTGTAACGTGACCACCCGACCGGACGCGATGACCTGATGATTCAAAGTATGCCAGTGACTGAGGTGTCAAAGTTTTAGCGTTATACCTCAGTCCAAACGCCACACCGATCGATTTTAGCCCAGAAAACATCAGTCACACCGACATCTGACCAACTACCGATCAAAAGAAGATTCCATCAGCCAAAATGGCCACAATCTGTCGGTTTGGAATCGGTCTTGAGTCGGTATGGCGGTGTGACTAAGGTATCATTGTTAATGCATTCTTTTTGTTAATTTTACAACACTAATTCATGTAGTATCTTGTTTATTATTTTCGGATTGGTGTCGGTCTGCGTCGATCTGGTCGATTTGACAGGTGCATCGTAAGAAAAGAGAACGAAATATGTAAACATAAGAGCATCGATAAACTACACAATATGTCAAAGCTTTAGTCATCTACAACAAGGCACCGTTATTTTCTCATTTTTGCATCACTAACTTACCATTCTCACAGTGTATACCCCCGAAGCCCGGAATGCACGAGCAGTTGTAGAAATCAATTTCATCAGAGCAGGTAGCACTATTGTGACAAGGATCACTAAGACATTCGTTTATATCTGTAGAAAAGATTATTAAGTTAACGATCAAGCATTCAATTAGAAATAGGTTGAGATAAACATATGTACGGGCGCTAATGGAATTTAGAATTTCAAAAGAAATATTTCATTTTCAACTTTCATATCATGTTAGACATTTTAGAAGTGGATTGATAAACAGCAAAAACGGACATCCTCTGTCATTGAAATTGGGATCTTTTTCTTCTCAACAAAAGCTTACCATTTCCACAGTTGACACTGTCGAAGCCGGGAATACATGAACAGTTGTAGGAGTCGATTGCGTCCGAGCAGCTAGCACCATTTTGACAAGGATTACTTAAACATTCGTCTATATCTGTAAAAAATATTATCAAGTAATCGAAAGATCTGATAGAAATCTTTTGAAACATATTGCAGGACCCTAACAATATTAAGAATACAAGCTCCATTGGTTATTTGTATTCGTTTGTGATTATAACACAAATCATAATGCTATCAAATAAAAAGCCTTCTTAATCATAGTCTTTGCTAAATTCAGAAAATCAAAATTCAGAAAACTCAAGAAGTAGCTTGAGATAAACATTTAAACGAGTGCTAATTGAATTTAAAATTTCAATTACTTATTTCGTTAGACATGTTAGAGAGAGGATTAATACACGGCAAAAACGGATAACCACGGCCACACTGTCATAAAATAGGAATCATTTTTATTCTCAATAATGACTTACCATTTTCACAGTTGACACCGTCGAAGCCAGGAATGCATATACAGTTGTAGAAGTCGGTTTCATCCGAGCAGGTAGCACCATTGTGACAAGGATTACTAAGACATTCGTTTATATCTGTAGAAAAGATTGAGCATTTAATTAGAAATAGCTTAAGATAAATATGTGTACGGGCGCTAATAGAATTTAGAATTTCAATAGAGATATTTCGTTTTCAACGTTCATATCATGTTAGACATGTTAGAAAGTAGATTGATAAACGGCAAATACGAATATCTTTAGCCACACTGTCATCAAATATGGATCATTTTTCTTCTAAACAATGACTTACCATTTTCACAGTTGACACCGTCGAATCCAGGAATGCATGAACAGTTGTAGAAGTCGATTGCGTCAGAACAAGTTGCACCATTTTGACAAGGATTACTTAAACATTCGTCTATATCTGTAAAGAATATTATCGGTAGTCGAAAGGGTCTGATAGAAATCTTTTAAAACATACAAGAATATTACGAATTCAATCTCCATTAGTGATCTTCATTCAATTGTGATTAGAACACATATCATAATGCTATCAGATCTACAGCCTTGTTAATCATTATCTTCGCTACATTCAGAAAAACAGAATTTCAGAAGTAATAGTTCATTTTATGGAAATGCAAGTTGAAAGAAGTATGTTTATAATAATATAACGGGAATTTAATGATAGTTTGTTGGTTATTTCATACCCTTTTGACAATGGATCCCATCATAACCTCGCGGGCAAGAACAGTTGAAGAAGTCAACGAATTCATTACAGGTAGCCCCATTCAGACAAGGATTACTAGAGCATTCGGTGACTTCTATGAATTAAAAGAAAAGTAGTAATAATGATGGCTACTTTGTATAGGATGCTTTATATGTCACGTACGCTGTAACATGGTAATGCTCATTGAGCTTGAACAATATTTCCCTGGTTATAGCCGAGCCTCCAACGTAACTAGCGCTAAAGCTCATCAGCCACACCTGGGTGAAGAGTGGCAAATTCAGACTTGACAATGACAAGGACGTTAATGCCAGGCTGGAATTCGAATCCTGGAACTAAAGTTAAAGTTAAGTGAATGAACCACTATGCCATAACACCCTCATGAAACGTATGAACACGGGAATTCATTGCTCTGTCCGCTGATTGGAAACAAACCACAGGGACAGCAACATGGAATATAATGTAGCGTAGAAGGTAAGGAAAACGTAATAATTAAAATCCTTAGTGCCCGTTGAACACGAAGCGTCATTCCGATCGAACTATTGCTTACGATAATCAAGGACATGAAGAAAATCAGTGGATACACCAGTAATTCAGCACATTAATTGCACACTTTTTTTTCTTAAGCACCACAAAAATCACCGACGCAGGCCTACAGACGCATCGACTTACCACTTTCACAGTTGATACCGTGATATCCAGTTTGGCAAGTACAGTTGTAGAAATCGACTGCGTCGAAACAGGTGCCTCCGTTCATACATGGATTGCTTGAACATTCGTTGATTTCTACGTAATAGACAATAATTATGCGAGAATTGTTACTAACATGTTCTATATCAACAGCATAATAATTAAGGAGGTGATAGTCATGAAAGTACCAGTGATTGAATGACTGCGGGTTAAATTTGTATTATAGCCTCGTTTGGGTATGCAGCCGTAAACTACTAAGGCTGTTGGTGGTGTCTTTTGTGAAGACATTTAGTATAATTACGTTTTCCATTTCCAATCGTATAACACAGAGCTAAGTGGAATCGCTTAAGACCATTGGTGCTCGCAATTGCCATTCATTCACACGTTTAAAGAAAACGCGGCGATTTTATTTTTCCTTTTTTGGGGGCAATTCCTATCTGAAGGAGCTGCTAAGTATTGAGTATTGACACTGTGATCAAGTCTATCATTATCATGCAAAAGTGGCACTTTTAGTGAACAGAATAAATAGTCATTTTTATTTCGAAGTATTCATTTAGTGCTTCGAGATCGTAGCAAATATGGTAACGGAGTTGATATTAGATACAATATATCGGATTGAAGAAAATAAGTAACTTCTATCACGGTTGCATTCCTTACCACTTTGACAATGAATTCCATCAAACCCTTGGAGGCAGGTACAGTTGTAGGAGTCAACAAAATCCGTACAGGTAGCTCCATTTAGGCAAGGATTACTAGAGCATTCATCAATTTCTGTAGAAACAAATGACGATATAAAAAAAGAAAAAGTTATGCTTTATAAACTAGACGGTATTGATAAATCGGCATAATAACCCTGGCTCAAGGTTTGGTAGCTGTTATCAGTGCACAGTTGGTTTTAAGAAGACATTTATACAGGTATCCTTTTATCAAACTTTGATCTAGAGAAACAAATGTGGATTGATATTTCCGCATCCTCAGTATAGAGTGGATAATAGAGTTAGTACTTCTATTAACCCAAACAATGAAGTGTGTATTACGTTATTGCACAGTGGCAAGATACATGTTGACCATCTCACTCCCGTTGCCTTAATATACATTGATCATCCAGTTCCCGTAGGCAATACGTTGATACTATATTACCATTCCACGGTGTGGAAAACGTTTTGAAGGGACGTAAATTTGCACATGCTTACCCACCTCACAGCCTTTAATATACCATTTTCATGCATATTTTAGATAATGGTTTTCATTACGTTTGACAAATACATTCTCTTGTGTAAAAGAAATATGAAGGGTATCGTTTTCATTTACCAATTTGACAATGAATTCCATTGTAACCTTGCGGGCAAGAACAATTGTAAAAATCAACAAAATCTGTACAGGTAGCTCCATTATGACACGGGTTGCTCAAGCATTCGTCGATATCTGAACACACCAACGAAATATGAAATATGAATGAGCAATATGTTAAGGTGGAGTGATGGCTATACTACATATTTACAGGATTGAGGATATAACTTACTGGTACCATACTGAGGACAGATAAGTTTAGGTGTACATCTGCAATGATGTTCATTACAGAGAAGAAAAAAGAGATTTATTTTGGCAAGGAATAATGGAGCGTATCCCATAATAATAATAATAATAATATTGGATATTTATATAGCGCACATATCCACCCTGCAAGGTGTTCAAAGCGCTTCAATATTACCCCTGCTCTGCTAGGCTACCGATTTCGGTGCTCACAGCATTCAAGGAATTCCTTCCTACCGGTACCAATTTACTTCGCCTGGGTGGAGTGTGGCAAATGTAGATCAATGTCTTGCCAAAGGACATTAGTGCCGCGGCGGGATTCGAACCGCGGACCTTGTGATGGACAGTCCGGCGACGTATCCACTTGTCCACGACGCCTCTACATGCATTATTTCTCTCTCTCTCTCTCTAATTTTCTTTCTTCTTGTGCCATTACAGAGGTTATATGAAATGCAAGTTCAAAGGTACACACTTTGACATCATGATAGTGTCTTACCTATCTCACAATTTATGCCTTCATAACCTCCTGCACAAAAACAATTGTAGAAATCAATCGACTCCAGACAAGTAGCACCATTCTGACATGGGTTACTCCAGCATTCATTCACATCTAGAAAGTGAACAAAATATTGACTGAATATGAATTTTTAAAGTTTTTTTTTAACGGGAAGCGTAAGAAACTTGAAAACATTCTTTGAAAAGGTTGGAGGTGTCGTTTTAAAAAGGATATATGTTAATAGGGGTTTACCTGTGTTTGAAAATACATGAATCTTGTCGCTCATTTTGTATTCTTTCTTTCCCTTTCTGCACTGATTCCAGTTACTTGGTTAACATGAAGAACTAGTAAGTTCTCCATGTCTGTCTGATTATTATAAGATTTAATCTGCTCACTGTTTTGACAATGAAGTCCATCATGACTGCCCAGACATGAAAAGTTGTAATAGCTAACAAATTTATTGCAAATAGCACCATTTTGACGTGGATTGATAGTACATTCATTTATTTCTGTTAAACTCAGCATTATCAGTATGGTATAAATTATTTCTGATAAAATGAATGCTTGGCTGTTTGGTTTAGAAAAACAAATATATAACTGCTTAACCCATCCTGTTCCCGGATATAGCATATTCTAAATTTCAGGATAATCGAGTAGCAAAAATGTCCTTCCATGTTGACAAAGACAAAGATACAATGGGAGATAAGTCAGTTGTGATACATTAAAAATAGTAAAATAGCCGAAAGCTTTTGTCTTATGATCATTATAACTCATTTAGATTACAGAGAGTGGGAGTATAGAGATAAAGGGAGAGAGTCGATAGGATAAAAGAATGCAGAATTGTGGCTGTCTCACCATTCTCACAGTTTATGCCTTCATAACCAGCTGAACACGAGCAATTGTAGAAATCGATGGAGTCAAAGCATGTAGCACCATTAAAGCAGGGGTTGCTCATACATTCATTTATATCTGCAAGGAAAAACAATAAAACTTCAATAAAATGCCATACAAATGATGCATGCGACGGCGTTCACGATACAAAGTAGTTGAATTTGATAGTGTAATGGGCGATTGAAGATTTACAAAAGAAAACCTAATATTGAGGCCTTTTCCCCCCTTTATTCTCAGAACAGTCTCCAAATAAAACTATCTTGACTTTGTAATAATTTAAGAATATGATCTTACAATAGTTTCCTTACCATTTTGGCAATGTAGCCCGTCAAAACCATCCTGGCACAAACAGTTATAAAAATCAAGAAAGTCGTAACAAGTAGCTCCATTTTGACAGGGATTGCTAGTACATTCATCAATTTCTGTTAAGAAATTAAGGACCATTTATTACAAGGTTTTTACGGGATTCAGCATTACCAGTCTTCTATAAGTTATACTCTGTTTAATGATGACGTGTTAACTGATTGGTTTGTTATCTATATAGATCATATTTGACAAAAAGTCGCGACTAACTATAATCGTGGTTGTTAAACTTTACACCAATATCCTTAACATATTGACATTGTAACCCATCCTAACCAGGATGACAAGAACAGTTGTAAAAAGTCAACAAGTTCAAGACAAGTAGCTCCATTCAGGCATGGGCTACTTGAACATTCACTAAATTTCTGAGAAGAAAAAAAAATAGATAATGCTCAATACCAGGACTTCCGCGACCAAACAATTCCTTCAGTATCATTCTACAAAAGGAAAGTGAGACCTAAATCATGTTTTGGTGCAGACAAATTCATCGAGAGCCTATATATCGCAATATTAACAGGTGAAGAAAATCTCTCTCTCTCTCTCTCACACTTACTAAGGAAACCAAACAACAAATATCACTAGATATTGTAATAGTGTTGAGATGAAATTTTACCTTCAAATTCTTACCATTTTGACAATGTAGCCCATCATAACCAGGATGACATGAACAGTTGTAGAAATCAACAAAGGCAGTACAGATAGCTCCATTCAGGCACGGGTTACTGGAACATTCATCAATTTCTGAGAAGAAGAAAATAAATGACAACATGAAATAGTTATCACTCAGTGAGAATACCAGTCTTACCGCGACCAAAGAATGGGTTCAGTATCATTTTACAAAATGAAAGTGTGATCTATATCATTTTGTGGTGCACGCATATTCTTCGAAAGCTAATTTATCGCAATATAAACAAATGAAGAAAAAACTGAAACTTACATATCTCATTCTCTGTCCCTATATTTCTCTCTCACTAAGGAAAGGAAACAAATCAACAAATATCCATAACTATATATATATATATAATTATGTTAAAATGTACCTTTACATCTATATTCTTACCATTTTGACAATGTAGACCGTCATAGCCAGCCTCACATGAACAGTTGTAGAAATCAACAAAGTCAGTACAGGTAGCTCCATTTTGACACGGATTACTGGAACATTCATCAATTTCTGAAGAAAAAAACAAAGCATGAAACATCATTCAATGATTAAATTAGTCTCACAGCGACCAAATAATGGCTAAAGGCTCATTTTACAAATTGAAAGACTTATCTGACCTACATCATCAGTGGACACAAATTACACGAGAGCCGATACATCGCATGATGAACAAATGAAGAAAAACTGAAAAGCACACGGCGTTTACAATATTACGGTTTGATTTCTTTCTCTCTCTCTCTCTCTAAGAAAAAATCCATGACTTTGAAATAATACTGAAATGTTACTATACATAGAAATTCTCACCGTTTTGACAATGTAGACCGTCATAGCCAGCCTCACAAGAACAGTTGTAGAAATCAACAAAGTCGGTACAGATAGCTCCGTTTTGACACGGATTACTGGAACATTCATCAATTTCTGAAGAAAAATAACATAGTATGAAACATCATTCAATGACAATCCAGTCTCACCGTGACAAGATAATGGCTTCAGTCTCATTTTAAAAAATGTAAGTTTGACCCAGGTGCGTACGCAGGGGGGGGGGGGGGTCCCCCCCCCCCCCTCCTCAAACTGTTTGTATGTGTGTGTTTTGGAGGGGGGGAAAAAAACTCAATTTTTTTTTTTTGTTGTTATTTTTACAAAAAAAAATTGTAATAATACAAAAATATTTTAAAAAAAAAACAATTGTGGTAATGGGTTACCCCAAAAAAGCTGACTTTACTGAAATATCAATCAGCCAAATTTTCAAATTTTGGGACAAAAAAAAATTTGCTCTAAAACATCGATACTTCTCGGTTTCGTTTTTTCTGGGACGCACTGTACATAGAAATTCTCACCGTTTTGACAATGTAGCCCGTCATAACCAGCCTGGCATGAACAGTTGTAGAAATCAACAAAGGCCGTACAGGTAGCTCCATTCAGGCACGGGTTACTGGAACATTCATCAATTTCTGAGAAGAAAAAAAGAAATGACAACATGAAATAGTTATCACTCAGTGAGAATACCAGTCTTACCGCGACCAAAGAATGGGTTCAGTATCATTTTACAAAATGAAAGTGTGATCTACATCATTTTGTGGTGCACGCATATTCTTCGAAAGCTAATTTATCGCAATATAAACAAATGAAGAAAAAACTGAAACTTACATATCTCATTCTCTGTCCCTATATTTCTCTCTCACTAAGGAAAGGAAACAAATCAACAAATATACATGTCTGTATATATTATGATGTTAAAATGTACCTTTACATCTATATTCTCACCATTTTGACAATGTAGACCGTCATAGCCAGCCTCACAAGAACAGTTGTAGAAATCAACAAAGTCAGTACAAGTAGCTCCATTTTGACACGGATTACTGGAACATTCATCAATTTCTGAAGAAAAAAAAACATAGTATGAAACATCATTCAATGACAATCCAGTCTCACCGTGACAAGATAATGGCTTCAGCCTCATTTAAAAAAATGTAAGTGTGACCCAGGCGCGTACGCAGGGGGGGGGGGGGGGGTGTTTTGGAGGAAAAAAAACCTCTATTTTTTTATTTTTTTTTTATTACAGAAAAATTATAATAATAAAATAAATATAAAAAAACAATTGTGGTAATGGGTGACCCCCAAAAAGCTGACTTTACTGAAATATCGATCAGCCAAATTTCAAATTTTGGGACAAAAAAAAAATTGCTCTAAAACATCGATAATTCTCGGTTTCGTTTTTTCGGACGCACTGTACATAGAAATTCTTACCGTTTTGACAATGTAGCCCGTCATAACCAGCCTGGCATGAACAGTTATAGGAATCAACAAAGTCGTTACAAGTGCCTCCATTTTGACACGGATTACTGGAACATTCATCAATTTCTGAAAAATAAAACAAAGCATGAAACATCATTCCATGAGAATACCAGTCTTGCCGCGACCAAACAACGGATCCAGTATCATTTTACAAATTAAAAGACTTATCACACCTACATCTTCATTTTACAGTGAACACAAGCTCAATAACAGACGATACATTGCATGATAAAGAAATAAAGAAACACTTAAACGTTCATATCTCTTCCTATCTCTCTATCACACTCAGGAAACAAATCAACCAATATCGATCACTATATAATAATGTTGAGATGTAAGGTATGTTATATCCAAATTCTTACCATTTTGACAATCTAGACCGTCATAACCAGCCTGGCATGAACAGTTGTAGAAGTCAACAAAGTCAGTACAGGTAGCTCCGTTCAGACACGGGTTACTGGAACATTCATCAATCTCTAAAAAATAAAACAAGGTATAGAAACTTCATTAAAGTGATAATACAAATTGAAAGACATATCTGGCCTACATCATCACATTGCGGTGAACACAAGTGAGAATACCAGTCTTGCCGCAACCAAACAATGACTTCTGTACCACTTTACAAACTGACAGATTTATCCGCCCAACATCATCAGCTCACACAAATTCTACGAGAGCCGATACATTGCATGATGAACAAATGAAGAAAAAATGAAAGGCACACGGCATTTTCCATTACAGTTCCATTCTTTCTGTCTCTCTCTCTCTCTAAGAAAAAAAATCCATGACTTTGAAATAATATTGAAATGTTACTAAACATAGAAATTCTCACCGTATTGACAATGTAGCCCGTCATAACCAGCCTGGCATGAACAGTTATAGGAATCAACGAAGTCGTTACAAGTACCTCTATTTTGACAAGGATTGCTTGTACATTCATCAATCTCTGAAATATAAAACAAAGTATAAAAACATCATTAAGTGAGAATACAAATTGAAAGATTTTCCTGACCAGCTCATCATTTTTCGGTGAAAATAAATGTAACGACAGCCGATACATCGCATGCCAAAGAGATGAAGAAAACTTGAAAGGCACATGATATGAACCCCTTTTGATATTCTCTCTCTGTCTTCAAGAAACAAATCAACAAATATCCATCACAATATAATAATGTTGAGATGTAAGTTTACGTCCAATTTCTCACCATTTTGACATTGTAGCCCGTCATATCCAGCCTGGCATGAACAGTTGTAAAAATCAACGAAGTCGTTACAAGTGCCTCCATTTTGACAAGGATTGCTTGTACATTCATCAATCTCTGAAATATAAAACAAAGTATAAAAACATCATTAAGTGAGAATACAAATTGAAAGACTTTCCTGACCAACTCATCATTTTTCGGTGAACACAAATGCAACGACAGCCGATACATCACATGCCAAAGAGATGACGAAAACTTGAAAGGCACATGATATTTTCCCCTTAGATTTTGATATTCTCTCGCTGTCTTCAAGAAACAAATAAAAAAAAATCCATCAAAATATAATAATGTTGAGATGTAAGTTTACGTCCAATTTCTCACCATTTTGACATTGTAGCCCGTCATATCCAGCCTGGCATGAACAGTTGTAAAAATCAACGAAGTCGTTACAAGTGCCTCCATTTTGACATGGATTGCTTGTACATTCATCAATCTCTGAAATATAAAACAAAGTATAAAAACATCATTAAGTGAAAATACAAATTGAAAGACTTATCTGACCAACTCATCATTTTTCGGTGAATAGGATAGATGCATATATATTCTTATTAGACGCCATTTTAATTGATAAATATTTGTATGCGATGTATAAGTGACTCACCTGATTCACAATGAATGCCTTCGTACCCAGGTAAGCAGGTACAGTTGTAGGAATCGATGTGGTCCGAGCAAGATGCACCATTCTGACAAGGATTGCTTGAGCATTCATCAATTTCTGAAACAAAACGACAAGGGGGATCGTAGCCTCAAAAGACATGCAGTTGCAGGAATCAATGTGATATTCATTACGGATGATATACGGCTAAACATATTATTTTGTGTATGCAGTGTACACATGTACAAATATAATAATACAATATACAAAATACAAATAACAGATATCCAATGAATTTGTAATCAAATTGTATTGTTACTATACATTGAAATTCTCACCATTTTGACATTGTACCCCATCATATCCAGCCTGGCATGAACAGTTATAGAAGTCAACAAAGTCGTTACAAACAGCTCCATTTAGACAAGGATTGCTTGAACATTCATTGATTTCTGCAGAAAATGGTAAGCACCAACAAGTGATATGCATAAATGGCAGAATATAATTATGCTTCTAGGCAAATGTAGAGATAACTGAGACAATATGTTAATCAGCAAGTTTTGGGAAAATGATTATTTCATACATTGGTAGGAAGGGACGGTTAAATTTAAAGGGCTTATTGTCTGTATCAAAGTCTCAATATAATTCAGAGTGAACAATAAAGCCTAGTCTAGATATGCCGCTGTAAACTTTTAATGATGACGTATAGGTGTTATACGCTTCACATTTCGGTATTTTAAAACACAGAGCTCAGTGAATTCGCAAACGACGTTTATTGTGCGCAGTTGCGATTTAGTTACATGTTAAAAAACGAGCCTTGATAGAGTTATACTCTCTTCCCCTTCTCGATTTCTCACCTTCTACATGTATCTATCTCTCGCTCTCTCTCTCTCTCTCTCTCTCTCTCTCTCTCTAGTCCCTCTCTCTTCCTCTGCCCCCCCCCCCCTCTTACCAGTTTCGCAATGTTCACCGCCATATCCAGCCAGACAGGTGCAATTATAGAAGTCGATGAAATCGATACAGGTAGCTCCATTCTGGCAAGGATAACTTGAACATTCGTTGATTTCTGGGTGAAAGTTAGGAAAGTGTTCAAAAGAAGACGAATTTTGCAGTTATTGATTATTACGGATATTAATAATATATCTGCATACATGGCCATGTCTTTTCTTTGTGTGAGGCACCTGACTGATCGTTTTTCAGACCATTTAAAGTTGTTGTCCAATGCATGCTTTTGTTTGGAACCAATGAAGAAGACATTACCATTTTGGAAATAAAATATTTTATTCGAAATTATATACACCTTATTAAACATTAGTAGAAGTCATAGTAATGTAAATATATGTATGAATTATAGTATATACCATTTTACAGATATATATTTTCGTAGATTTTAAAAAATATTTGTATGCGATGTATATTAGTGACTCACCTGATTCACAATTAATACCTTCGTACCCAGGTGAGCAGGTACAGTTGTAGGAATCGACGTGGTTCGAGCAAGTGGCACCGTTCTGACAAGGAGTGCTTGAGCATTCATCAATTTCTGAAACAAAATGAAAAGGAGGATCGTAGCATACGAAGAGATGCAGTTCCAGGAGCCAATGTGATATTTATGACGGATTATATACGGCTAAGCATAATTTTGTTTTAATTGTACAAATATAAAAATGTGAAGAAAAAATATATAATTTGAAACTTGCACTTCAAAACTTGATTGTATAATATAATTATTGATATAACAAATTATACATGGCTAAACGCAATTGTAGGTATGCAATGTACAAATGTACACATTTGAAGAAAAAAAATTAACTTGAAACTTGCACTTTAAAAATTAAATCTATAACATTAATGAGGCTCTATTTGACCTAGCATTAAAAAAATCTGAATCGTTGGTATTATAAACAAGGTGACAGACTGTGAGGTGCTGTTGTAGGGCTAAGAATAATCTAATTCAACTAGGTAGAGTAAATGCTTACATTATTAACAGAAGCTCCATAGAATTATATTACTTTGATGCCATCAAAGTAAAAAAGAAATAGATATGTAATTTTCTATGAACAGTGACACTGTCATATCCTTTTACTGTCACAGTGTCAGAGAGAGAGAAAAAAAAGGGGGGAAAGGTGAAGGTTTTAATCGTTTATTTACCATTTTCACAGTTCATTCCCTCATAGCCTGGAAGACAAGTGCAGTTATACATGTTGATGAAGTCCGAACAGGTGGCACCGTTTTGACAGGGATTGCTGGAACATTCGTCGATTTCTGTAAAATCAAGGTGACATTGTAAAGCTTATAACAGCATTTGTTTTATACAGCAGGCTTGCGGGTGCACCATGTGAGAGAGAGAGAGAGATGATTGAGGAGTCCTGAAAGAACTCTGACTCGGTAATCTTTCTTGGGGGTGTGTAGTCCTGAAAAGGACTGTTTGTTTTCATTTGTTTTACAGATTTTATTTGCTAGGTATCGGTGTTATCTTCTTGTTGAAGAGAAGATTGAATTCTGGAAAGTGCTATCAAAGATGAACTTTTATTTCTTAGCCTGCTCATTTTGTTCACTTTGTCGTGAAATAATAGCTTCGAATGCCCTTATCCGAAATATGAACGAGAAGTAGCTTAAATGTTTGGATCGTTTTTCCTGCCACATGGGTGTGTAGTCCCAAATGTCCATTTCTTTGTGTAATATTTGTAATTTCCAGCAAAATTTTGCCAACCTTTTTCTTTCACTGTTTTCTTTTCTTCAATAGAATAATAATGAATTTCAATAAACCGAACTAAAAACATGCACGAAACGTGTCAAATGCAACCTTCTTATTTTGTTGTGAGGTAAAAATGCAGGTCTATTCAATGAACTTCCTACCATTTTCACAATGTATTCCGTCGTATCCTGATGTACACGAACACGTGTATCCATTGATGACGTCATAGCAGGTAGCATCGTTCTGGCAAGGGTTGCTGAAACACTCGTCAATCTCTGTTAAAAATTGACATGATAGGTGAAAGAATATGACAGATTAACAATAATATTAATTTGATTTACATGACGCTAAGTATATCTACGATGTCTCTAGGCGCTAAATAGTAAACAATGCCTAATCGGTGCCTGTTGGTCCCCCATGATCCCCTTTTTATTATGTTCATTGAGAGCTGATTTGAGAGCTGATTTGATGAGATAACCACCTGTCAGTGACCTTGCAGGAAAGTCTAATCCCCGCTGGCCAATAACCTATGGTTCACAGTCCGGTGACTTATCCACTAGACCACAACATTGGACTTACCAAATTCACAATTAGTACCATTATAACCATCTGTACAGTCGCATTGATAATAGTTGATCATGTCCAAGCACGTAGAGCCAAACAAACAAGGGCTACTCTCACACTCATCGAATTCTGGCAAAGAAAAGAATGTATTTAAAATTACAATAACATAATTAGATTTGTAACATATTCAATCTACACGGTTTAATGAGTTTTATTTGCAATTATAAAAACAGCCTATTTAAAGGCAATTATTTGGTAACCCTGTATTTTACTCTTTTGGTCAATTCTATTAAGCATGGTGTAACATATTCCGCACCCGTCGAACCTTAACCGACATTATTCCAATTGCTTTCGTTTATGTGAATTAAGGGTATAATAAATATTTGTTCATCCTCATGTTGTAGTTATTACTTTAATGATTTAATTTTGAAAATGTGAGGCTTGGGTTTAAATCTTCTTGATTGCTTCTAATAACTATTTTAAAAAAGCAAAAGAGTGTAAACCTTGGCACTGTCCCCTGGCTTGACTCCACGATCCGTTGGGCTGGCAAACCGCCGACATCTCGCCCACTGGGTAGTATCCGTTATCACACACATAAAAAACGATGTCACGGAAATCGGATCCGGCACAATTTGGCGTTGAATTGTCGAGTGACGGATACACACCTCCGCATGACACGGCTAATAATTTTGGTAAATGGATAGAAAAATTTCAGTTTTAGTATATCTTTTATAGTAAGGAGAGATACATCAATATATCACTGACTGTAAATAAATGTAAAGGCAAAACAAATATTTCATCAGGATTTCAATGATGAAGATAATTTTCATATTACCCAGTGCTTTCCAATCCGGGAATTTGTAGAGCGCCGATATCTGGACCCCGTTTCATCAAACATGTTATCAATGACAAATATCAGATTTTTATATCAATTTCGCTCTCAGCCAATCAGATGCAACGATTCCAGTAGCTTATAACAGCTATTGCAAATTTTTATTGATAACAAGTTTTATGAAAAAGGGCCCTAGGTCCTGAAAGGCCCTGACATCGATGTACATCATTATGACGCAAGTACATCTCAATACATCCTTACTGATAAATGCTGTGCCTAAACAAACATGAAAGATTTCACGAAAAAATATCTCGTGCCATATTGTTTTGTCAAAGGTAAAGCCTAAAACCAATATATATTATAACTACTTTTACCCTAACCCTCTTGATATATTTCAAGTACCCAAAGGAATATTAATCACGTGATCATGTATTGATCGTGCGATTGTTTTTAAATATTCAACGATGAGACTTTTGTTCTTCTTCTCCTTTTTCTTCTTCCTCTTTTTCTGCTTCCATTTTTTATTTTATTTACTTCATTTGATATTTGCAACTGCAAAGTAAGGGAGAATGGAAAATGTCATGTATGACTTACGTATACATTTTGAAACCCCTGGAGAGTATGTTCCATTGAGATTACAATAAATCCGAGTGATGTTACCATCGAGGGTATACCCTTCATCACAGGAGTAGGTCACGTGTGACCCATACAGCCAATCAGAGTTCGAGGGTTCGTATGTCCCGTGCGCTGGTTCACCGGGGTCGTAGCATCTCTGTGGTTCTTTGGGACCAGCTAAAAGAGATATCGACGTATACGATTACAAAGACCTCCGACAATACCACATTGTATATCCCATACAGAAATCATCTTCGAATAACGTAACAGGTCATTCTAATATTCAGCAGGTGTTGGACAAGGCTATCAACATTGTTTGGGTTGATTTGTTGTCGTTTTTACAAACGTAAGAAAGAGATCAATAGGAGAAAAGCCACGATTAACATGAATAAATTGACGTTTCTCACGGCTTCTCTTCAAACATTAATACATGAAATATGTGTTCAAGATTCGGGCGTTGGGGCCTGAGCTATACTGCATGCCATTCCCTCCTTCCTGCTTCAAAATGTTATATATACCAACATTCATTCGCGTTGTAAAAAGGGTCTAATCTAAATGCCATCGACCTAACCGATGAGTAAACGTTTACTTTCTGAATGAACTTACTATATTGGCATAAGTAATCTGCGGTTGAGCTACATCTATCATCATTCCATTTATGGTTGCTAGTTTTAAGGAGGTCAAGGCATTGTTCAGTGTCTGGATTACTCGGTTCGCCCGAGCCCCAATAGAAGTTGGTGATGGGGCTTCCTGCAGGAGAATCGACAAAAAGTGGTCTTGATTTAATAACTGAAAGAACACTAGTGAAGTATTCAAGCTTAGTGCCCTTATAACACGTACAAAGTGGGTGAAAGATAAAGTTTGTTCTGGGACCACTTCTCTTACTACTTCTTCTTCTTCTTTTTCTTCTAATTTTACTACTGCTACCACTACTACATGGACTTCCTCCTCTAGATACTACTTCTTCTTTTTCTAGTTATTATTATTAGTAGTAGTAGTAGAAGCAGTAATAGTAGTAGTAGTATTGGTAGTAGTAGTGTTAATATTATTGTCTTTTTCTTCTGAAATTAAATCAAACAATCAGCTCAAAAATAATACGTTTGTCCAACGCACCATCCACCCAATGCCAAATCTTTCCTGCGCTTGTCTTTCTTTTAGCTCCTATCCACCAGTTCGATCTCGATGAGCTATCCACACTTCTTGCTTTCTCGACCAGGAAATCCTGTTTGACACCGTCATAGATCTCGACAACTCGACCAGATGTACCACTGCAAAATGCTCTCCCGTCGTTCCAGTTTCGTGGGTCTGTTACGAACACTTCACATTTTCCGTCATAGTCGTATTTTCGATATGCGGAAAGGATTAGATTAGATATTGACGAGCAAGCCATGTCTGAAACAAAAGGAGTTCGAAATAAATGTGAGATGAATGCATAGGGAAATAAAGAAGGTGGCAAGGACATTAATGCTATCGAAAAAAAATATCCCTAATGATATTCGTTTGTCTCGCAATGTATGGTCAACAAGGGATTTAAAAGATTACGACGTTTCGTGCGCCGATGCAACACTTCGTCAGGTGATAAAATATAATGTAAGCAAGCGTGTTTTATACTATTCTGCCTGTATACGTACATGGGCATTCTTTGAAAGCATCAAACACACAATCTCCACCATCTTTTCATTGCGCCAGGCATTTCATTTTTTTCCTACTAAATTGTGGCTCTCAGATTATATGAATTTATTTGTAATGTGTTATGATTTGTACTCAGTCATAACATATTTAGCTCACATTTATGTTCATTCTTTCTTTCACATGCCACAAAATTAAATCACAGTGGTGCCGCGAGTGCCGATACCCGATCAGCATTAACAAAAAAAGACACAATTAACAAAATGATTTGCATTGTGCAGTCCAAGAGCTTTGCCTAAGAACCTATTTCTGGGTCTAAATTGCTTGAACAGGTCGACTAAAAATCCCTTCATTACCTAACCATTTTCATACTGCAAGTTTTTAAATATACTTGGAGATAGTAGCATTACCCCTTCACGAATATAGGGTGGCATAGAAATATGATTTGAGTGCGACATAAAAAATAAAAAATAAAACCAGTCACCATGGCAACATAGCCGAGATATTAAACACTCCGACGTCAGACTGCACCAAACTACATGTATACAAATAGTCCGAATATCCGAGAATCAGTTTGGAGTCAGTTAGACCTAAGTCATACCAACTAAAACCGACACCAAACCGAAAGCAGACCAAAACATCAAAAATTACATTAGTCTGGATTCAAAAGAATTGCTCAGTTTGGAGTCGGTTAGACCTAAGTCATACCGACCAAAAGCGACAGAAGTCCAAAACATCAAAAATTACATTAGTCCGGATTCAAAAGAAATGCTCAGTTTGGAGTCGGTTAGACCTAAGTCATACCGACCAAAACCGACACCAAACCGACAGCAGACCAAACAACAAAAATTACATTAGTCCGGATTCAAAAGAATTGCTCAGTTTGGAGCCGGTTCGGTATGTTCGGAGTCCGTTTGGCGTTGTAACCGAGTTGAAAACTTTCAAACTTACCATACTCGCAGATGACGTAGTTGGGGATACCGCTAACCTCATTCTCCAAACAATCGTCATCATTCCAATTATAGTCATGATCCTTGTCACCACCAGGATTTGGTAGACTACTCAAGAAGACACACTGGATGTTATCACTGGTACTACTGGGTTCCTCCCAAGCCCAGGAGAAGTAATCTAGTGGTAGCCCAGCTGCAAGGTTAAAGATAAAGTTGAGTTTTGTTCATACAATTGCATTGTGAAAGAAACGATGTGGAATCGATCAGAAAAGGTTGATCATCTAGCATATAATTATTGGTGTGTACTGCAAGGTTATGGAATCATCAAAATGATAAGAAATTTGGCCCAGTCTTGGTAAAGTTACATGCACTGTGCACAAAAAGATGTATATGGGACTACACGAACATGTGGCATAAAAGTCCGTCCCGATTTGTATGTTACATGCCATATTTAGAATACTAAGGCATTTGAAGAGCCATGCATTTCAGGAAACATTTTTTATCTCATGTTTGTTCACACCTGTATAATTCAATGATATCGCTCACAGATTATTTTTAACCTCTTCCCAAAACTCAACCTTCTCTTTAAGTAGAAGGAGCGAAATAAAAGCCATTAACAAGTTGGTATTTGAAACTCATCAAACTCGTACCCTTTGGAGTACAAATGTTTTCGTTTATGTCGCTATGTCTGAAAAAATAATAGTTTACTAAGAGGATCAGGAAAGAAGAGGTAACAACTCTTTCCAACAAATTAAACTCGTTCCTTTTTATTTCAAAAATGCAATCCATTATGTTGTCGACATTAAGTAGATCTGTAAATGAAGGCAGCAGGTAATTTTCCAGATCTGTTACGTTGTTGTTGGCCATGATAGCAATTATTGTTCAACCAGCGGCTCTTACATTAAAATCGAATTACGTCACAATATATTTTCGATTATCACTGTTTAAGTCTTACATCATGAACATGATCAGATGAGCAAATACCACCTCAAATATCAGGATTTCTATTTCAGTATACAAGGCTTGGAATCTTATCTGGTCCTTTCCACACTCAAATTTGATCGTGTCCATATGATTTCATAAATCTCGGTATAACTATATATATAAGGACTGGCATGAAACCTGACACCAGGGGTGTTTCACAAAGATCCTAAGTTGACTTATCTCTAAGTTGGACTTAAGAATCATGAACAGCCGTTAGCATCTATGAACATATTTTGTAAAAGATATTTTAAAAGGCATAAAATGTTGATTCAAATCATTTATAATTTCTATTATCAAGGAGATTTCATGTTCTTGATGTGGAATTTATAAAAACTCTAAAATACTTGAATTTTCACTATTGAATATATTTTATTTTAAGGCTACAAAATGGCTATCCATGATTTTTAAGTCCAACTTAGAGTTAAGTTCGACTTGGGATCTTTGTGAAACACCCCAAGGAATTTTAGAGACGAAGTTCGTGATCGCAATCATGTAAAAGTTTGTTCTTCCATGCCCGAAAAAAAAAATCTTACAATTTAATCAACTACGGGGTAAAGGGGTACCGGAGTAAAGGAATTCCTTGAATTGTGTGTGCACTTATAAGCTGGTGGCCTAGCAGGGCCGGCGTAATAATGGAGCGTCTTGGGCAGGTGCGCTGTGGATATATGTCCACTATCAAAATATCCAATATTATCATTATTGTTATCATTATTTTATTTGTTTCATTATTATCATCATTATCATCATCATTATTATCATTATCATTATTTGTATTATTATTATTATGACATGGAATCACTCGAAACAACTCTAACGTAACTACTTACAATCATCCCAGTACCAGATGTATCCGTAAGAGCCCCCAATCCAGTGCGTAGTGGCCACGCCCGCCACTTCTCCTAGCTTGTCTTCCAAGAACGTCTGCACGTCTTCATCCACCACAGTGGCCAGCTGTCCTACCGGGCTACCGCTGGCGCACACATCGCGGGCATTCTTCCATGTTCTCCAGGCGCTGTTGGCTCGGAAACAGGTGTTGTTACCGTACTGCCAACTCCCAGACGGACACACGTCAGGACTGCTCAGATCAGCTAGTTAGGAGTTTTCAAAGAATTGTGATCGGGAGGGAGATACCAACGAAACATATAAACTCGTTAGCGTGATCATTATTCATTATGGAACAGGTGAAGACCGAGCACTAATTAGGAATGTCATTTATTTAAAGATGCATTTGGGCCTCATTTAGCAGCAAAGTCACAATTCAAATAGAGTTTGGATATTTGAATGAGATTTTAAGGAAAGTTTTCAGACGAAAAACAATGAATGAAATAAATATTCATTTTATAGGTAGGTTCTTTTTCATCGATTGTCCATTTCGTTTCTTGACTGATAGATTTGGCATTGTATGAAGAGTACGAAGTATCAGAGAATACGAGAATACAGTTAATTTCCTTGTCATTCAATCCAACGATAACCCCCCCCCCTTCTCTCTCTCTCTCTCTCTCTCTCTCCCTCACACACATACTCACACACACACACACACACACACACACACACTGTCTCTCCCACTCCCCCTCCCACTTTTCTCTTGATCTACTCACTCCGATTCGTTTCCATATACATAATACTGACAAGTTAAGTGTCCGACTCGTGAAGTCTGGAGAGGTTTGGGGGGGGGGGGGGGGGGTCTCTTGTTCGGAACACGTTCAACATATCGGTGGGTCATAAAGCCGCCCCCTAAATATCTCTCTCTCTCTCTCTCTCTCTCTCTCTCTCTCTCTCTCTATCTATCTCTCTCTCTCTCTCTCTCTCTCTCTCTCTATCTATCTATCTATCTTTCTATATCTCTTTCACCGTTGTTGCAGTAAAATGCTACTTACGGAAACATTCGGGGCTTTCGCCCGACCATGTACCATCTTCGGAACAGGTCCGCGATACCGACGGATCGTAGAGACGGTAGTTGGTGTCACAGGCGTACGTGATGACGTCACCATAGTAGCGCCCTGATCCGAATACCGAGCCATCGTTTGGAACGGGAGGCTCTGGACAATTTACCCCTGTAAACGAAAATATCGTGACAAGGAGAATTAACTAAAAGATATTCCTAACAATTCCTAACGGATGTGCCAAGCAAAATCAATGCTCAAGATTGTCAATGAAAGAAGTAACATTAAAAATTGGTGCTCCTATCCGCATTTTGTGTCTTTGCTCAGACATCCATTTATTCAGCTGTCATAATTGAGAAAATAGGCATATTTTTGTGGGTAAATGTAACATAAGTCATTATTGAAGGATGCTTTATTGTTGCATTTAAATGGTTTAATTTCAAAAGGTCTCCTTGCACAATTTGAAGTCGTATTTAACTTTACTTTTTCTGATGCTCATCCACCTGATTCATCTCTTGAGCTGTGATCTAACTCTTAGTAGATTATTACTTCAATTTAATTCATCAATCCATCAGTACAATAAACGCATACCCATTATACTATTTTCTTTAAAAACACATTTCTAATACAGATCAACTCTAAATATAAATTGTCGAAAAATTTTGGGTACATGTACATGAACATTAATCACCGAATGTCTTGCACTCATGGGCACCGTTCCCTAACAAGGAGAAGAGATTTAATAACACATTTTACCACACTTAAAGCGAAGGTTGAGTTCTGGGAAGAAGTGAAAAATAATTTGTGAGCGTTACTCATTCTTATTATGCAAGTGTGGAAGAACATCAGAAAAGACATGTTCCCTGAAAAGCATGGCTCTTCAAATGCCTTCATATTCTAAACATGCATGTAACATCGTAAAAATCGGGGGCCAGCTTTTTACGCCACGTGTTCGTGTAGTCCCATATACATTTTTCTGTGTACAGTGTTTGTAACTTTACCAAGACTTGGCCAAATTTCTTATCATTTTGATGATTCCAGAACCTTGCAATACACACAAATTCTTATATGCTAGATGATCAACCTTTTCTGGTCGGTTCCACACCGTTTCTTTCACAATGAAACCGCATGACCAGAACTCAACTTCTTCTTTAAGTGGGATTTAAAATGTTATTATTGTTTCCCCTGGTCACTTGATTTTAAGCGCGCACCATCTCCACTCTTTAGGAAATATTCCTTCAAATTTCAATACAGGCCAATGAAAAAGGTGTCACTGGCTGAAGATATTCCTACCAGGTAACCATTAACTTCACCTGGGTGGAGAGTGCAAATGTAGGACGTTAGTGTCACAGCTAGAGATCGAACCGCAAACCAAGTGACTCACAGTCCGACGACGTATCCATTAGACCACGACTCCTCTATGTATTAGGACACACACTAATTTTGTTTTCTAGTAATCTGGTAATAGGGACTTTTAGATTTGCACGACGACATAGTGGACTGCTACGTGTGCCGTCCTTATAATGCACTGTGATGTCCTTTTAAGGCGCTGCCAGTGCCTTATAATTACGTCACGCGTAGCAGTCCACTATGTCGTTGTGCAAATCTAAAAGTCCCTAATATAGTCCCTAATTAAGGCACTGACAGTGCCTTATAAGGACGTCACGCGTAGAAGTCCACTATGTCGTTGTGCAAATCTAAAAGTCCCTAATATAGGCCATATAAACAAGACGTTTCTAAGTATAAGATAATATGCATTGCTTATGGAATTCTACATGAGTGCGTATAAAGTAGTAGACAACGAAAAATATTCAAAGGTGAAACTCACGATTGCACTGGGGCAATGTTCCGGTCCATGTTAACGAGAGGGCGTCACATATGAGAACAGTAGTATCACTGACGTCATCCATGACGTATCCAGGATCACAGTTATAGAGAGCGTAGTAATCATCTTGTATAACATAGGATCCATGTAAAATGGAAGACGGTGTACTACAGATGCCTGTGAATTCCATTAAGAAGTTAATGGTATAAGTAGGACTTATGAAATGATATTCGATTCTACTTCAGATTTAATTTTCCACACAAAAATATCATCTGTTTTAGCGAGACAGTACTCACAATGTAAAGTCAACATAATAATAATAATAATAATAATAATAGTTCAGTTATTGTATAGCACATAATACGTTATGAAATAACATCTCTATGCGGTTCCAGAGAGCTTCGAAAATGAAAACTCTAGCTTTAGCTCCGGCAGCCTTTTATATCAGCGCACAGCGCATTTCAAGGAATAATCCTACACCAGGTACCCAACTACCTCACCTGGGTTGAGTGTGGCAAATGTAAATCAATGTCTTGCCAAAGGACATTAGTGCCGTAATTTGCATTCTATTGACAATAATTCGCAGTACTGGATCATGGTTACAAAGTACTTCATATGAAATTAGATGAGGACAAATAATTTGCAGGGAGTTAATGACGTGGGGATCATTGATAATCTTGGAGAAAATAATGGAGGGACATACGATTCCCAGGTATATTGTTTGTTTGTTTGATTGATTTTATTTCTGCGTTCAAACATATACAAATTCAAAATTCAAAGTACAAACATTCGAACAGTAACAAATACAATGAATAAAATGTTTACAAAAGTAATTAAATGGAAAATCATGTACTATTATATCATACGATAAACATGTACGAAGCATACAAATAAGATAAGAAATGTGAAATATTTTCAATAAATTAGAGAGGTAATTTAGACCACCATCGTGAGCGGTTAGGCTGGAGATGGATGGCGGCCTGATTCTTATACACTATAGGGTTTTTAAAGTTCATAATGCAATAATGAATAGTGTGAGAATAGTGATTTAATTAAACATTAATTAAAACATAGGAATGTCTGATATGAATACTGAGTGCCAATCACAATCATCATGGGCTATCGTCATCGTTCATAGTTTTTCTTTTTTGATTGATTGATTGATTTTATTTATTCATTTCATATAACAATTGTTTGCACAATAAAGAATATAGTTGACAAAGTAAGATCAAAATTATTAAATGAACCAGGAACCAACTGAAAAGCATAGCTTTTTTTTGTAGGTTCCCAAGAATAAATATACTATGAACATTATTATCATAAATCATTTTAAAGTGTCTTAATAATCACAGTAAAGTAGATATAATATAATAACATATCTTCGTAAACCATTTTAAAGTATCTAAATAATCAAAGAAAATACCAAAAAAAAAGAATGACAAAAACGGGACACAAAGGACAGGAGAATTACATAAAAAGATAAGACAAGACATGACAAAACAAGTCATAACAGGACAAGATAAACAAGACAGGATGGGACAAGACATACAAAAGGACATGACAGGACAAAACAAGACAAAAACAAAGCTGCACACAACCCTGCGACATGAATAACTTTTGTTCTCGCTGAAACTTAATAACATCCCCAATGGATATCATTTACAATCATTTGATGCAAATGTCTTATAACCCTTTCGGAATGTGATATAGAAGTAAATATTATTTGTTTTATAAGATAATGTTTTATTTGTTTTATAAAATGATGTTTTATTACATGATTTTACTAATGACCAGTCATCAGAATTTGATAAATGACCGGTCGTTATCCAAATTACGCGTTAGGCAAAATAAATGCCTGGTCGCGTGTACGCTTAAAACCAATTATTTGATTAGGATCCACGCCGTCATCGTATACAATTTAATAATGATGATATTAAAGAGGGGAATTGTGATCATTGATCATGGCAATATTGGTCATAGTTCATACATATCTTTGTAGACACCTCTAAGACCCTTGAAAATGTTGCATATTTCAACTGAAATAAGAATGTTATGTGCAGCCTGAGTACAAATACTTAATCCAGAACTTGATATGACAATCTCATTTGGGGATTGTCGTGGTTATTTTTCTTCTTCTTCAAAATACAGTATTCCAAAAAGACAGTATCTTCTAAAAATCAAAGCAAGCACGTTTATACATACCAGATGCGACGATATCCCTTCCTTTGTCGAGAAAAGCAAGCACAAAGAACAAAAATATTTTCGCCTTTGCCTCCATCTTAACAATTTCTTATACTATCCTTAAAAACATTCTTCTCGAAGCTTTGTCATCCATAATAAAAATCCTTTTCACTTTAAGCAACTATTATGCAGAAGATAGTCAAACAAATTTGAAAGCGCCGTTGCATCTATTTCCAAATGTCCTGTCAGATGTTACACACCAAATATACTTAAGATAAAGCACGAAGACGACCCCTTATTTTGTTTCATTTGCAGTGTGTTAAAATCTTTTCGGTTATCTTGCTAATCTTGTTACGTAAAGTGCCCTGGCTGATATCAATCGTGTATTTGTGCTATCGGCGTGTGTACCAAACACGGTAGGTATTAGTCCTACCAGATAACAAATCAATGTTGACATGTTTGTCCATAACAACAAGGTCAAACACCAATTTTATCAACCCGCAAAGAAACGAGATATGGCACATATATTTAAAGACCCGATCATTTGTCAGAAAATTTATGGAAGGATATCTTTTTCATTTGTTCGTATCTCGATCTGTAGGAGTGGTAATCACTTTGTTATGTCATAAAGTTTTTACGATTTTATTTGACCAAATTTCTTAATCGGAATATGAAAAACGGTGTTTCATCAAGGCAGGGGCGGCGATTTCTGTTCATGACCGGGGGGGGGGGGGGGGGCGAAATGCGAGGGACGAGGGAGCAGTGGCGTAATAACCAAAAACGTTGGGGGCAGAAAAAAAATCCGCATCAATACCATTCTTACATGTTACATGCAGGCACCGCGGAACATTTTTCAAAGTGGGGGAGGGGGGGCTTAAGTATTTACGATCAGGTAGAGCAAAGCAAGTGGGCGTAACTTGGCGTGGGGTCCAAGAGCAAAGCCCCGGCGGGGGTCAAGCTCAGTGGTTTAAGGCATTTCATTAAGGTCAGATGAGCATCCAGGGGGCTGCCTTAGGGCTCCTGGTGGCTTCCATCTTTTGATACCTTATTTGTGACACTGGCGTGCAGGTCACTAAGTGGAGTGGGGACCGGGCGCGGAGCCCCCAGAAGCTCAGGTATTTTAAGCACTTAATTACGATCACATGAGCATCCAGGGACACGCTTTAGGGCCCTTGGTGGGGTCCAGGGGGCAGATCCCCCGAAAGCTCAGGGGAAAACCATGCCATTCAGCAACATTTGTAAATTACTGGTATCCAATTAGAAATAAACCACCTTTTATGGGAGGGGGGCAATTGCCCCAAGCCCCCCCCCCCCCCATCAGTACGCCGGTGCGAGGGAGCATAATGAACGAGAGGGGTGAAGGTGACGGAAGTGACTATCCCCTCACAGGTTTTCTGAAGTTTTGGTGTATATTAAAAGAATTGTAGTATAAAAACAAGCAATATACTTTCTTTACACTTCACTTTTCTACATTTTGAAGGAAATTTTGCGAGGGAGCGTAGCTCCCGAGTGAGAAGATATTTGCATTTTTATTTGTATAAACGCTGCACCCTTAGGCTCTCCAGAGCCTAAAAGTGTGTCGCAGTCTTCAGTCAGTATTTGCTATACATTTTTTTTCTCTCTTTTTTCACATTTCCCGGGGGGACGATCCCCCCCCCCCCCCCGCTCCTAAAAAAAAATCGAGGATCAGGGACTAGTAAAGGTAGCAGAAGGGGCGTGTGGGTCACATGTCTTGGTCTATATTATTCAAGCTGAGGCGTAGCCGTGGGTCTAGACCATTAGCGGTCACCGGTAACACAGGGGCGTTCTTACTTGTTTGATGAAAAGAAGTTTCACATGGCCATTGTTTACTGTGAGAATGTGGCGCTCTCGCGTCTTCCGGCTTCATATTTTTATTGTTTCGCCGTCTCCCGTTACACCCCTCACCACCGGCTCTCCCCCTCGTTTCCCGCTATTTTCTGGGGGAGGGGTGGGGACGTGAGGCCCCGTACCCAAGTAGTTGTTAGCATATGAAGCAACTGGCAGCACATGAAATTCGACTATAGCATTAGAATGTATGGCTCAATTGAAAAGAAGTGATCAGTCTATCATTAATCACTAAAAATATCTAAATAAGATTCGGGCTCGGAGGTTTGTCTTATAATATTTGAAGATATACTTATTCCCTTCAAGTTGGTAAACATCTGATAAAATCCTAAAACCTCTAGATATTGGCAAAAACACAGGGTAGCCTATTTAAAAAGCACACGTGTTTGATAAGCCGAGAGGGATATGCTTAATGTTCAATAATTGAAATTTTCGACGACCGGTGTAATATGGATGGCCTTATTAAACAATACTTCTGAGGATCTATTTAATCTATAGTGCATCTAAATGCGCTGTTGTGTGCACTCCTAGATTTGCTTTGGAGTAAGCAGTAATATATTTTTGTCTTGCCCCCCCCCCTTTTTTTTTCTTTTCTGTTCTTTTCTTTCTCTTTTTTTTTAAATTCTTTCTCTTTTTTGTATTTTCTTTTCCTTCTTCTTTGTTTCTTTCTCGTTCCTTTCTTTTTCGATGTAGTGGACTTAAACGGACAATTAATGTTCATCATAGAAGAAAAAAATTCAACTGTTCATAATTATCTTTTCATTATTTATTCATAATGGTTATGCTTTAATTAGGAATATAGCCGCGCAGTAATTAAAGCTTGTATGACCCTACACACTAAGAAAAAATGGTGCAACTATGCACCTTTAGGGGTTCAAACCAATGCAACAATAGCAGCACCTTTAGGGGTTAAATCCTGCACCCTTTTTAAAGGTGCTATCCTGCACCCTTCAAAAGGGTGCCAGATTGAACCTTTTGGGGGAAATGTTAGTACCCTTTATGGTTCAATCCTGCACCTTTAGGGGTGCAAACCGATGCAACAATAGCAGCACCTTTAGGGGTTAAATCCTGCACCCTAGTTTAGGAGGGTGCCAGAATGCACCTTTCAGGAGACATGTTAGTACCCTTAATGGTGCAAACCGATGCAATAGCAGCACCTTATTAAAGGGGTTCAATCCTTCACCCTTTAAAAGGTGCAATCCTGCACCCTTCAAAAGGGTGCCAGATTGAACCTTTTGGGGGAAATGTTAGTACCCTTTATGGTTCAATCCTGCACCTTTAGGGGTGCAAACCGATGCAACAATAGCAGCACCTTTAGGGGTTAAATCCTGCACCCTAGTTTAGGAGGGTGCCAGAATGCACCTTTCAGGAGACATGTTAGTACCCTTAATGGTGCAAACCGATGCAATAGCAGCACCTTATTAAAGGGGTTCAATCCTTCACCCTTTAAAAGGTGCAATCCTGCACCCATCATCGAGGAATACTCGTGACATTTGCTCGTACACATATACATATTAAACATGCATGATGTTTCTTGGTTAGTAATCATATAATCAATATATATATTGCTAAAACGTGAATGTAATTGTAACATGATCAGACAAAATAATCTATTGGTTAATGATTGCCGAAGGAAAATACAAATCACAAAATTGATGTGCATTGTCATAATTTGCTTAACAAATCATATGATAAATGTATTTTTATGTGAACACGTGGAAAGTAATCATGAATATGCATGCAATATGCAAACTTTTATTTTGCACCTTTTTGGGTTGTTAGGGTTCATTTTTGTGGGAAGGGTGCAACATCTTATATTGCACCCTTTTTTGAACCCCTTTTCCTTCAATAGGGTTCATTTTTATGTAAAGGGTGCAAACTCTTATTTTGCACCTTTTTTTGCACCCTCTTTTCTTAGAGTGTACATGTTGGAAACTATGTGTACACCCCCCCCCCCTCCCACCCCCCCCCCCCCCCCTCTCCCGAACCCTCCCCTTCGGACTGAATAGCGGAATGGGGCCAATGGGCATCTTAATCATATTATTCGAATTGCCAGTTGATAAGTGATCTGGGCAATATAGTTGTTTGCTGGCGATAAGAACGCAACAAATGATTTAAATACGATCCTAGTTTAATGATGTTAAAGAAGAACCTAGACTAGATTAATTATAGCGTAACGGAAAACTGTTGTTTTAGCAATAACACGCGTTGCTTAATTGGATCAGAAAGATTTGTCGTTTTCTGGTAGGAAGAGATTAAACCTCACGATTTCTTCTCAACTTAAACCCTTAAAGTGTTACCTGACTGAGATACCGGTAATCTCACTCTGTATTTGTTCCTGATTTGTTTTATCAATCTATCTATATAATTCTTGGTACTATTCGTACTATAGTTATCAGTTACATTGTGTTTTAATGTCAAAATTTCAACTATTATTATATTGTGTTCACGTTCAAAACAATTATTGTTACATTTTGTATGTTGCAGAAGAAAAAGAAAAATCAATTCATCTATATATTTAGACTGTTCACAACTTCACAATTTCGGCGTAAATATTCATAAATGAATAATACACGCCAATAATAATGTAGGCCTATAACTTGTATATTGTATTATGTTCTAGACATGTAATATAAAGAGATTTAGTTATCTAAGCCCTGCACCTGCGCGTTAAAACAATACAAGTATAAAACAAACGGGTGAATGGTAGAAACCATTATCATTATAACAAGTATTGATCATAATAACGGATTATTCAAAATTTAAAGAAAAAGTTGTTTTCCATACAAATCATGCTGGTAAAAAATTAGGTTTACCGTTCAGTGACCTTAAAGATTAGACAAGACATTTGATTTTTGTTTATGTTGTTGTTTGTAATTTTTGTCTGTTCATTTACAACAGTAGGCACATTATTTTTGTACATCGGTAATCTAAATTTAAAAAAAAAAAAAGACTGGCAGAAAAGGTGAGAAAGAAATTGGTTAAAAAGAAAGAAGACGAAGAACCAAACATTAATTAGAACAAGAACACTAACGGGGGAAAATGAAGGAAAGAATGTTATTACGCTATGGCACGCCACTTAATCTTTTCTGCTCGTATATATTTTATCATACTTGAATGGCGTTCCATAAATCTTCAGCCTGAAAATGGAAGACGATTTCACTTGCATTTCCTGTAAACAATTGGCTCTGCCGGGAGGAGAGGTACGAGAAGGGAATCTTCACATTATCATAGAAGATGGAAAAATCACAGGTATGTATTTCTTTATCCATATATTATAAAGAACATGTCTTGAATTGCTCGTTGAGTTTGCATTTGGTAATGTGTGTCCACGTATAACCATATACAATGTACGTGCCCACATGTTACATTTTGTGTAAGCGCTATCTATCTCAAATTAAAAGAAAAAGAAAGAGGAAACAAACAAAAATCGACGCTGCAAAACTATGAATTAATTTTACACTTGAATAGACCTTGGATGAAGGGATATGATATTGTGATTGACTGTTTAACTGTCCAAAAATATGGACTGTCACTGGAGAAAAAAGTTTTCTTTCTGACATTAAACTTTTAAAGGTCAAAATTCAAACTCAAAACAAAACAAAACAATTGTTCTTGTTGAAAATGCCAGCATGAGACTTGGGTTGAAATTGAAGTGAAATCAAAATAATCATTGTCCTCATCATATCAGAACTTATGAGAAATCGTGATTCTTCTGAAATATCACTAATTAAATATTTATTTTAAAAAACAGATCATGCATGACTGATTTACATGATGAGTCTTTTTGACAATGTTAATGTTATGTCAGTGTAATAGTTTAAAAGGTGATTTGTTTTACCGGTAGGTGTAATAGATGTTTTGTTTTAGGTGTGCTTTTGTTATTGTAATAATTCTGTATTTTTTTAATTAAAAAAAAAAATGATAATAGATATTGTATGATTCAAATAGTCTTATTTTTAAAAGATAGATCTATATGTTTAATTTGATATTTCACATGTAGAGTAAAGGAGCCGGTAATCGGCCAGCTCCAGTTTTCGGCCGATTGGTTGGATGCAAGGTAAAATCCCTCTAAAATACATCGCATAATAGCATAACGCATATCCCACACATACCACATACCATACCATGCCAGTGTCACTGAAGAACCACATTTGCAATGAAAAATATATCCTAAAATATCACATTTTAGCGATGTAATCGGCGGTCCCGCTACCCGAATCTGAAAAATTGAGTATCTTACGCGTGTCTGTAAGAAATATGGGTACCATAAAATGAGCTTTATTTCAAGTATTTTTCAGATTTAGAGCCCGATTTTGTGCTAGTCGCAAGCTCAAAAGTATCTCATCGCATGTATTAAATTAATGCAGCCGCACACCGCAACGCACACACGATATCTCTGTCTAATTCAGATTCCAATATCCGATCACCGCAGTACTAGTTTTCGGCCTGGCGAGCTCCGGGGAGCTCCGGCGTGGGATATCTGCTCCGCCCGCTAGTGCTATAGATCAGCGCGGAAACGCACGGCGCGGAAACGCACGGCGCGTGCGCGCGCTTCCTATTGACTTTGTACATGCGGCCGAAAACTGGTACATTATGCCGAAAACTGACTCCGAAACAATGAAAATTGAAATGAATATTGTCATGGCAATTCATGATTTTTTTCTGGGATTCTTGTTTTGTTTAAATAATAATAATATTTGCTTCATGATTTGAACAAAAAATGATAATAAATAGGAAGTAAAGGGTCCAAAAAATAGGATTTTGTCTTAAGTGGCCGAAAACCGGCTCCTTTACTCTCTAGAGATTAAGAACAATATCTAATTGCTGTGTTATTATACTTATGTTTTTATACTGTCATTGTATTATGCAGGGCTTTCTTGAAAAGCAGATCCACTGGCTTCCAGTGGAACTGAATGAAACTACCCTGTTGAAAGAAATCATGAATAAATAAATAAATAAATAAAACAAAAATTTCTTTGGAAACAAATGATAAAGTTAAATGATATCAAGATGGCTGAGAAGAATAGCTCTAAGAAGGTGACTACTAAGAAGCCGGCCGCCCACCCACCGGCTGCCGAGATGGTTGCTACAGCATAGACCCCTTGTAGGCCTATATTTAATGATTTAGTGGAGTCTCGTATTGTATAGCTCTGATATCTCGGACATTGCCACTCCTTGTGCTCCATTCGTATTACGTCCTCCTCTGATCTTTAGCCCTTGAACCTTGAAGCAATAATCCCTATTGCAGCTTACTCTGGAAGCTACTCTGGGATGGGGTGCATGTGCAGTCAATATCGAACAGTGAAGTTATAGAGTATGCTCAGTAAAAAGTGGCATGTGCAAGTAAAAACATGGCTGCTCAGTTTACAGGAGCCGAAATCCAGCAGGAGGCTGCAAACTTCTGATAGTTGGGATGGCAGACTCCTGGAAAGTAGCAAGTAAGGGTGTATTTACAGCTACATAGGGAAGTCTTTTCGAGACTGTCAATGTAAGTGCCTAATAAGCCAGTTCACGGTTGCAGTCTGAGCATGAGCAGATAAAGGTCATTGCAGAACAAATTTATGAAATACACTGAGACAAATACTGGATATGTGCTCATTAAAGTTATGTAATCATTATTCATTTATGCACAAGCAGTGCACTCCATGATACACAGCTGGAAGTATACTTTGAAAAGGGAAAACAAAGGCTACTTATGTAGCACCTCCATCGCTGTACAAGTGATAATTTCAAAATGTACAAAGTGGGACCTCTTCATGTTTTGAAGATCTATGGATATTCAAGGTCATTTGGGACATGTGCAAACCGTGAACTGGGCAGCGTTACTCGAAACCGTCATAACTACAAGTTCACCGACATCCCATTGAAACGCGTGTTAAACTTAATACACGCGTTTCAATGGGATGTCGGTGAACTTGTAGTTATGACGGTTTCGAGAAACACTGGCCTGGTTTATAAGGGAGTTTACAGATAGTACATGGTACAAAAGACCCCAAATATCCACAGATCTTTTACGCATGGAGAAGTTCCACTTTGAGCATCTTAGAATAATAACTGCCAAAGTCCTAGATGTGCTTCATGAATACCTTTTGTTTGCCCTCTTGAAAAGAATACTTCCACCTGCGTATCTTAGAATGTACCGTTGGTGCATAAATGAATAATGTTACATAACTTTCATGAGCACATATCCAGTATTCATCTCTGGTGGGTTTTACCTTTTTGGTACAAATGACCTTTATCTGCCAATGCGCAGGTTGTATCTGTAAACTCCCTTATTAGGTAGAATGAGTATTTAAAGGCATTTATATTTCCTGACAAAATAAATGAGAATTTTGTTCTTGACAGCAATCTTGGACCAAGAGACTGATCTGGTGAAGGGCGCAGTAGATAGACACTATGCAGAGATCGTCACTCCAGGCTTCATAGACATTCACCACCATGGCTTAGGTAACTTCTCAATCATGCTTCAGAGACGTTTTTCGAAGTATCGTTTTGCAGAGTTTTCTAATGCATCTGTTAACCGACTTACCTGAATAACCTATTAACTATGATGACACCCACTATTAAGTCTACAGACTTGTAGAGGGCTATTTAAAGATAAAGTTGAGTTCTGGTCATGCGATTGCATTGTGAAAGTAACGGTGTGGAATCGATCAGAAAAGGTTGATCATCTAGCATATAAGTTTTGGTGTGTACTGCAAAGTTCTGGAAACATCAAAATGATCAGAAATTCGACCCAGTCTTGGTAAAGTTACCAGCACCAGTACACAGAAAGATGTATATGGGACTACGTGAACTTGTGGCATACAAATCTGTCCCGATTTTTACGCTGTTACATGTCATATTTAGAATATGAAGGCATATGAAGGCATTTGAAGAGCCTTGCTTTTCAGGGAACATGTTTATCTGATGTTCTCCCACACTTGCATAATAACAATGATAACGCTCACCAATTATTTTTCACCTCTTCCCAGAACTCTACCTCCTCTTTAACAGGTCTGTTCCTGATCGTATAAAGCTCACCAAATTAATCCTCACATAGGGTCAAAATTAAGTTCAAACGATTAGGTTTAAACTTATTACACTTCTGTTTCCAGAACGAATGATTTCATTTTCATGTGCTCATAAACTGCTTATTACATCTTGTTCAATAAGTTTTATCCTATCATCGTCATCTTCATACCTTCCTCTCTGTCATATATTCTTGTATTCTCTTCCTCTATTCTCTTTCGTTATTGTGTACAATCTTCCACAACGATTGTGATTCAGAATATGTGTCCTATATTTCCCAAAAATAAAGTTGTTGAAATGTTTTCTTTTTTTCTCTCTTTTTATACAGGTACCCTCTTTAAAATCCACTACCATGTTCTACCTATGTGTTCCCAATAAATTTTTGTGTTTTCTCTCCTTCTTTTGTAATATTCCTGATCATACTATAAATTGTGAACCGAAGTGTTGCTACCGAAGAACATCTATACTGTATATCTCGTAAATTCTTCTTTTTTTTTTTTTTTTTCAACAGGTGGAGCAGATGATCTTTTATTGTTCTGGCAGCATCCTGGTAAGCCTGATTTAGCATCATAATCCTATTATTTACTGAATTTTTAATCATAATGCTAATTTTCAAATCATCATTTGTGAAGAATATATGTGATTTTGACATGGGTATATATTAGTGTGAAAGATATAAACTTTGTACAGGCTTTATAAATGTACAATAATTTTGAAAATGTTACTCTTGGTAAAGTCTTCACCTTCAAAGCTTATACATGTAAGTCCTAGGATAGAATTTATTTAGCAAAGGAAGACATCTTCATTTCAATATGGAAAAGTTTTAGCCAGGAATGTTATTTACACAAACAATAGTTATACATGTAGGTATATATGTTGATATGGTTTTTGAGCTCTATCAGGATTTGGAATTATAGATTTAGATTTGAAAATGCAGTCAATTTTTTCACTAAATACCTAACAATAAACAGTTTTCGTAATGGAAAATAGTCCCCTCCAAAATGATACATGTTACTATATTTTGGACTTGGACTTTGGTTTGCTTATATTAAAGTCTGATTCAATCATTCTTACTATCTATTATACGCAGAGTACACGCAGCAGAGATTGCCAAAGTATGGTGTCACATCCTTCCTAGCATCCACTGTCTTTCCTGAGGACTTAGAGGGCGGCAAAGTCTTTGAGACGCTCAAGATTCTTGAGGGTATCGTAGGCAAGACAGATCGGGGATCGACGTGTGAAGGCATACATGCTGAGGTATGTTGGTGTTGAAATCTGATATCTTCTTTAAGCAAAATCCAGAGTTACATGTTTTGGAAGAATGGTATCGATTGTTTTGAGCCAGAAGGGTGTTGATTTACATGTATATACTTTAAAACAGAAGTAACACCTTTCTGGCTCTGGTCTGACAAAATTGTCTAAATTTACAAAGATCATGACTACCATTCATTTAACACTAACAAAGTTATAATAATAGCTACATTTATGTTGCGCACATACCATCGTCATCATCATCACATTATCATCTTTGTCAGTCATCTTATCATCACCACGACTAACACCACCACCATCATCATCATCATCTCCACCACCACCACCATCATCATCATCATCATCATCATCATCATCATCTTTGTCAGTCATCTCATCATCACCACAACTAACACCACCACCATCATCATCATCAGCACCACCACCACCACCATCATCATCATCATCATCATCATCTGTGTCAGTCATCACATCATCACCACAACTAACACCACCACCATCATCATCATCAGCACCACCACCACCACCATCATCATCATCATCATCATCTGTGTCAGTCATCACATCATCACCACGACTAACAACACCACCACCACCATCATCATCATCATCATCATCATCATCATCATCATCGTCATCATCGTCATCATCGTCATCATCATCATCGTCACCATCATCACCATCATCGTCACCATCATCACCATCACCATCATCGTCATCGTCATCATCACGTCATCATTGTCACCATCATCACCATCATCATCGTCATCATCATCATCATCATCATCATCATCATCATCATCACAGAGATGCCACCCCTCCCTGATTTTCCGGAAGGATCCCTAAAAAATTGGGGCTCCTTATATCCGTCACTCCATACAGATTTAAATGCCTTCCTGATTTTTTGAAAGATTATTCCTATTACGGTGTATGGAATGGATAGAAACCTTCCTGATTTCTGAATGATTCTTCTCTGATAGCTGGATGTAAAGGTTGGCACATCTGTTATCATCATCATCATTATCATCACACGATCTTCGTCAGTCAACATCGTCATCACCAACAAGACCACCATCATCATCATCATCGTCATCATCATCATCATCATATTCATTTATTACTGATTCTTTCTCTCTCTCTCTCTCTTTCTCTCTCTCTCTCTCTCTCTTCTCTCTTTCTTCTTTCTCTCTCTCTCTCTCTCTCTTCTCTCTTTCTTCTTTCTCTCTCTCTCTCTCTCTTCTCTCTTTCTTCTTTCTCTCTCTCTCTCTCTCTCTCTCAGGGTCCCATAGTGAATGACTTTGGCGGCCTACCCCCTGGTGAGCAGAGGATGCCTATTGATAAGTTCACCCATCTCCTTGATGCCATGCCAAGCTGTAAGATGATGACCATCAGTCCCCATGTAGATGGTCAAGATGACTACCAGAGAACTAAGATACTCCTAAAAAGGTCAGTGTGCGGTCCCATATTCATATTAGTGGTATTCTCGAAAGCAGACTAACTTTAGTCCATGGTTTAATCCACCGACTAAGTGTGGAATGCCAAGTGTCCGTATGAATATGTTTTTAAATAATTTAATCTGTCACTAGATTGAAATAAAATATAATAACATAATTAATAAACAACAATATAACTATGATATAATTATGTTATCATGGTAATTTAGGGACTTATCAAATTATTCAAAAATATATTCATATGGACACTTGGCATTCCATACTTAGTCGGTGGATTAACCCAATGGACTAAAGTTAGTCCGCTTTTGAGAATACCACCCATTGTGTTTTTATTTATGTATTTTGTTTGTTCATTTTTGTTTTGTTCACTTAATGATCATCTAAGGGACTGGGGAAATATGTTTTGTTAACTTGTATTTCACCAAAAAAAACTTGAACTACGATTACAATTGTGCAAAAAATTTAAGAGGGCATTAACAATCAGGAATTAGAGGTTATTTGAGACATACAACCATATAAAAAAAGATAATGCTGTTTAGGAATAAATGGCTACTCATGAATTCTAAGTGTATGAGAAAATAATTGTTAATATGATTTTGCTGCTGTAATCTTAATTTTCCTTGCTATATACTTGATGATTTATTATTTATTCCATGTATTATTTGTTCTTAGCTAAGTATCTTTGCAGAACACCTAGAATAAGTTCAAATTTTTGCCAATTTAAAGATACCATAGTTATGTGTTCTCGGTGGGAATTGAGGGTCTTTGGCTATTTACCTGATAAATGTGTGTTATTAATCATAGAGAATGGACTTGGTTCACTTTTACAACTACGACCTTACATGATGCGCGCATCCAGCACTTCAAGAACCTCCCTGAAGGAATAGCCATCATTATGAATTTGGAATCTACACAATGACAGACATCTTGCTATTAAGTCTCTGGCAGTAAGTTCCCAGTGGGACAAAACTTTGCTGCTTTTTTGTGAGAGATTTATAAACACAACAACTTGTGATTCCATTTTATTATCAGAAACTCTGGTAAAGTGCGTGCGAACTATGACACAATGCACATGAAAGCAGTGAAGTGACGTCTTTAACAGTATTTAACATATATATTTAACTTTCTTTGCAGAGGAATCGTTCCTGCCCTCGGCCACGACAGGGTAGCCAAAGAAACAGAAATCCTCGGTGCTTTGAAACTCGACACATCTCAACAATTCCATATCACACATCTCCTTAATGTATGCAACTTCCATCACAGGTAAATAATTCATTGATGCAAGATGATGTGATGATGTTCAATGATTGCTTTACCGACTGCTAAGAAAGCATGTCTATGTTTGTAAGTATTCAACCGATGGACTGACGGCTTTAAATCCTCTCCGAGGGACTTGATAATGAGGATTAATGCCTTACCTATTAAGAGCATGAGCGTATTGACTTGGTTTTGAATCCTGGACCTCCCGGTTATGAGACCACTGCTCTACCACTGAGCCTTGGCACCTTCAAAAGAGATAAGAGATTACAGTGCATATCAATACAATGTTGCTTTTGAATGTTGGACAAGTATGATTTTCTGGTATGCAGTGCAGTTATTCTTTTAATGCCAATGTTGCGTTGCATGTACCCATGTGATTCAAACCGGACCTGGTCATTGCCAGTTTTATTTTTGGAGGGATGATCTTTGGCAAGACATTAATCTACATTTGACACTCTCCACCCAGGTGATGTTACCCGGTAGGAATGGATTCCATGAATGCCAGAGTCCCTTATCAGGGTTGCTCAGTTAAAGCCAGGCCAAATATAGTGCAGGGTTTCAAAACGTTTGTAATAAATAAACGGTATGTAAATGTCACTGTTCTCATTTTTTGTCCACCTGGAAACCAGGAACTGCTTGTCTATATTCCACGAAGGTAGAATTCACTTTTGCATAATTAATTTTCCATTACAGGAATCCAAGTTTAGTAAATTTTGGATTGACAGATCGCTTTCCCTTGTTGCCAGGATACCATCATCTTGCTCCGCCCACAATAGAAATCATCGGCGACCTCTGTCATGTGTAAGTTTTCCATAATTCTGTGCAGAAAGTATCTGGCTTTTTAATTTTTTCTTCTCTAAACTATGTTTGCAATTGCCCTTTCTATACATTTCTTAGATTTCAATCTAGTAGCTTAAGAGGCACCATACCATATTTGCCGGCGATAAGGCCGCAGCGCCGCATAGGCCGCACCCCCAACTTTGACATTTCGTAGAGGAAAAAAAAAAGAGAGAAGAAAAAAAATGGACCAATCAAAATAGTTGTAATTTTCTCGTAGAACACTCTATTTTTTTACAAAGTGATACCAAATTCATCAATATTCTTATAAATTTACAAGAAGTTCACCTAAAAAATGATCGTAATTTAGCACATCTTCATTGATTTTATATGTATCGCACGCAGATTTGGTATCCTACAATACACCTACCACGATGTGCGGTGTAATCCGGAATTGTGTTTTCGACCTGCGCAGTTGCGTTGCGCGGCATCTGCTAGCTCCGTAAGTAACGGTCTGTCCCTTCTTTTAATTTTTTGGCGATGCAATGGTACGGACTTAGATCTAAATCTATCAGCAGATTTTTATTAGAAAAATAAGTTATGCTTTTTTTTTTTGTCTTCATGTCAACTATGCATCATAAAATTGTTGGTAAGTTGTGTGGAGTTATTCCAGAATTGTCATGTACCATTGTCTAGTCATCCTACCGTTCATAGTCCCATATGTTCAAATTGACGTGCTGTTTTGACCGCTGAATTTTGTTGTTGTAGCGTAAAGGCCGCACCCCGACTTTTTGATATTTTTTCTTTCAAAAACACTGCGGCCTTATCGCCGGCAAATACGGTACTCAGATGCAGGAATAAGAAACAATAATAAGCTGTGACACAAACTGTATGATAAGACTAGTTAAGTTGGTAGCAAATCTACTTTAAAGACTAATACAAACAGTACTCCACCAGAATATAAGCAAAATGTCAGGATTCATCTGTTCTGTAAAGACATAGAGTTAACAATTGAATTGTTCAGACTCCTTGTACATTTGATGTTTTTTGTGTTTTTTGTATTAAAGGTAATACAAAGTTTTGGGAAATTTTGAAAATTGGCTGGATAGTGATTCATTACAATTTTGATATATTTGGATGCCCCTGTGGATGTATTATAAGCACTAGAAAATTTAGCCCTAAAACACTACTACTTTCGAGAAAAATTGAATATAAACATTTACCGGTGCCCCCGGTAAATTTTGATAAATTTCAAATAGCACCTACGGCCATACAATGGTAGCTGTGACCATGGAAATTTCAGAATATGTAGTTGTGATATATAATTTTCAAACAGGAATAGCTAATCGGTTGATTTTAGTCAAGAAACATTGTTTTATAGCTTATTTAATTTATTGGCCTTGAGAGGGAGCTATACAACATGAAGAGTTTATTATTTACAATTTCATAACTTTAGACTCGATTTCAACCGCGACAACGATCAATGAATATTGTTGGATCGCATATGCTTCCAATATAATCATTTGAACCAAATTCATGACCCCATACCAAAACTTTGTATTACCTTTAAGTTGGTAGCAAATCTACATTATAGTATTAATGACTGCTTTGAGAGAAATAGATGTTTTTATACGATAAAAACAACTATTTCTCGAATAATAAAGCAGTCATTAATACTTTTATATGCCAAAAAAAAAAGTCAACTTATGACACCACTTTGGCCTTTCTCTAGTTTATCTGCATGGTTGTTTTTTATGAGTGTATCTTTGAGAGTATAGACTAGATCTAGATCTAGATTCTAGTCTAAGCAAGATATTTTTACAATTTTAGGGGTGGGCCGGCCCTGTGGGGAATATGGAGAAAAACCTGCGCTTTCATATGACACCTCACTTATTGAGTATCACCTTCAGGATCACATCAGATAAAGGTTTGAATCTCGAATTGAAAGAAAAAAAAACTTGACTTTTTTTGCATGGTCGCGCAATGCACGTAGACTGCATAGAGACTGCATTGCGTGCAATCTCTATCTCGATGATGTTGTGTGCTAATTCTTCCCATAGAGACTGCATTGCGTGCAATCTCTATGGGAAGAATTAGCACACAACATCGGGTGCGCGATCAGACACCCTGACTACTACTAGATCTAAGCATTTTCAGCAACTAAACGAACATGTTTATGGATAATTTCACATACTCTTTTTGTTGTTCTTGCTGTCAGCGAGTCTTGCATTTGATAAGTTGAAATCTTGGGAGAGTTTCTTTAGCCATTTTTGTCTTGTTTGGAATTGTCTTGTCTTGTATGAAAATACCAACCAATTCTTCGCACACGTACGGTATCCTCGATCGCTCAAACCATTTTACCAAGACTGAACTATTTTTCCGGTAACCATGGTAACTGGGATTTTAGAACTATTTTTAGAACTATTTTCCCGGTAACCATGGTTACTGGGATTTTAGAACTATTTTTAAAAGCTATTACATGGGTTTGGAATTTTACCGGGAATTTTACAGGAATAGTTAAAGTTTATGAATGCAATTTCGACCAATCAGATGGCTGGATTTCTTAAGTGAGGTATATAATAAAGACTATTATACAAACAGTATTGCACAAGAATACAGGCAAAATGTTGGGATCCATCTGTTCTGTAAATACATATGGTACAGTTAACAACTGAATTGTTCAGACTCCTTGAACATATGATGTTTTTTGTGTTTTTTGTAACTCAAGAATTAAAGGTAGACGGATTGAATTAGGGCCTTTGTTGAATATTTTTGGATGTAAGCTTTAATATGTCACATTCTCAAGAAACAACAAGAAACGCTCTCGACGGTCTCGCCTGCATTACACAATTTGATATGATGAAAAATTGAGGTTGGAACAATAATTTATAGGCAGGGTGGCCTATTAGCAGGCCCCAAAAAATGAAATCCTTTGAATATAATCAGCATTTTGAAGTGAATATTGACTAAGAATCATCAGAAGAATTATTTACTATTAATTGTACCACGATTAAAAATTTAATGGAATATGAAAAAATAACAAAACATGATTTTCTTTTTTTTTATAATCCTCACATACTGACCTAAAATGATTTTTGACCTGGACTTTGTGACTTGGAATTTGCGTCAAAAGATTTGTGATACTTGATAACCCTTGTTTACAAGTTTCATGGAATTTGAACAACACTTTTGAAATTATGCTAAAATTTCAAAATCTTGATGTTGATGGCTTGATGCCACAAAAGAGTCTAAGTTGGTTGACCTGAAATGACCTTTGACCTTAATTTAGTGACCTGAAATTCTACTCACATGATTGGGAATACTTGATAACCCTTTATTCCAAGTTTCATTGAATGAGAACTTATACTTTCAAAATTATACTAAGATTTCAAAAACTTAACTTAGGTTAAGTTGTTGATGTTGACGATGCCGCCACCGCCGTCATCGGAAAAGCGGCGCCTATGTCTTGCTTTTTGCTATGCAGGCGAGACAAAAACTGAAGGTACCTTTAAAGAGATGGTTCATTGAAATGTGGAAAGTGGGCAAATTACACCTCTACAGATTGCTGAGAACACAACATGAGCAAAATACTTTTGAAGCCCTCACTGTTGTGAGGAATAAATTAAGTGCAATGTTGTTACCCTTTCCCGAACCCACTCACAAAGTGAATTGATGGCGTTATTTTACATGCGAAATGATGACGTCACAATATGAACAACCTACATCACACATTCGGGAAAATGTTGGATACCCATTGCAATTTTCAGATATGGGTTAACGTTGTTTGTATATTTACCGCCAGTGGTGATATTTCCTCTATTTTTGGCATTTTTAATTAGATACACTGAATAAATGATACTTTCTACAAATGTTTGTTTGATTTGTATATTTTTTTGTGTCCCACTGAGGGCACTTCAGCGTGTATGTGTCTGATCTGGAAAGGCAAAGGACATTTTGCATGCTGACCTAACGACTCTTTTGGAGTAAAATAGGCGACAAATTTACATAGAATTGTCCAGATATTCATTACATAAATGTGTGATTAGGCTGATTAATTTACATTTTTGATAAATTAAGTAGTATAGGACCTGATAAACCGAGAGAAACAGATCAGTCCCGTTCGTGATTCACAGCCGCTGCTCGAGCGCCGGGCTAGGCTGGCTAGCAAGCTGCGCTAGATGTCATGCACGCATAGAGGTCAGTGTATTGCACACACAATCATGCACAGAGTACGCACGCACAGCTACTAGCTACGGGAAACTTGAATGCTACATCGACGATATTCACTCACTTTTTCGAAGTTATATACCATTTATCTAGACTAACGTCAGATTAAGAACCAAAACCATGCCATGGAGGAGCCTTCTGGAGTATACTCAAGTATGTTTTTGTCCATATCTATATTTCCAGGGGATTTTGATAAAGGTAAACAGCGTTAGGTATAAATGGGTACGGTACTCAAGAGTCAATGCAATACATGTGAATCGCACGCAAACTGCATCTCGCACCGTCGTCAATCATTTCAGCTGAGCGGCCTGCTGTTCATATTGTGACGTCACTTCAAAAATCAGCTGACTTACGATGTTTTCGGGGCGTTGAGTGGGTTGATGTTTCGTCAAGTTCAATCAAGTTTTATAAATTTCGCTCGAATGTACAAGTTACACAAATGTAATGATTTTACTCAGTGTAATTTTTCGATTGCAATGATACCAAATTCAGTCAAGTTTGAAATCAATAAACCATCTCTTTAAATTCATTATAGATCATGCATTTACATGTATATGAATCATTTATATGATGATGGGCATGGCTGCGCTGAGTTATTAACAGTGTTTTTATGTTTTCCTATTTCCTCTCCAGACATCCACTAGCTGTATCCAACGTGCTCAGTGCCAGGCACTACAGTCAGGTAGCCTTCGTCTCAGACTGTACAGCTGAAGCTATCCCTAACATGAAGATGTCCTACAGCAACAGAGAAAGTAAGTATTACTACCACTAACTCAGCTGAAAATTCAGTCAAATTCAACCATGAAAGCTAAATGGCTCAATTTTACTCTAATGTTTTCTGCTTGAAGTATTTGTTCGGGACATATTTTTTCAAGATGATTTGATAGGAATGTGTAATCTAGTTACCGGTACCAAAGAGGTAACATTGACATTTCGAGAGGTGAAATTATACAAGGTTATTAAGAGGTCCAATGTGTAGTTTGTACTCTTTAAACCTAATCACCGCTTGGTGGCAAATTGACTAAAACCACAGTCACGTACATTGTAGATGACGGGCCAAACAAAATATTAAATGACCGTGAATGACCAAGAATTGATTGGTATGGAGGGGTTTTTAAAGCTAAAGACCAGTTATGGTCATGCGATTGCATTGTGAAAGAAACATTGTGAAATCGTTCAGAAAAGGTTGATCATCTAGCATAGACGTACTGCAAGGTTCTGGAATCATCAAAATGATAAGAAATTTGGCCAAGTCTTCATAAAGTTAGAATCACTGTACACAGAAAGATGTATATGGGACTACACACACGTGCGCGACACATGCATTTGTATCTCTCAACAGGTGAGAGATACAAATAATTTACCAAATATATCAATTAGTAGGCGGTTTCCCGTCAACCTTTTTTATCATCATGTACATGTATTATTAAAAACATATTCTTTCACATGATTGGTAATAAGAGCTTCCATTTCATTTTTTGAAATTGGGGCGTTTCCAATACTGGTCTTTACCTTTAAGTCAGTTTGGCGGTGTGAGTGGGGTATTGGTGCCAAATATTCCTGATGCCATTATGACACATGTTCTATCTTCCCTTCCTCTGTACAGTGCAGGTATCCCCTGATGGTAAATATTTGGTGGTGAGCGGTACGACCACGCTAGCAGGCTCGTGCTGTTCATGTCTAGATGCTTTCAGATCTCTAGTTAAAGTCTTTCAGGTGGGACTAGGCAAAGCTGTGGCTATGGTAGCAGAGAACCCAGCAAGGTAAGAGTGAAATAGATAGATAAATAGATAGACAGATAGCTAGGTAGATAGACAGATAGATAGGCAGACAGATAGACAGACAGATAGATATATAGATAGATAGACAGACAGACAGACAGACAGACAGACAGATAGACAGATAGATAGATGGCAGGCTCGTGCTGTTCATGTCAAGATACATTCAGATCTCTCGTCAAAGTCTTTCAGGTGGGACTAGGCAAAACTGTGGCTATGGTAGCATAGAACCCAGTGAGGTAAGGAAGAGGGGTAAAGATAGATAGATAGGCAGACAGATAAATATATAGACATATATAAAAATAGATGGATGTTTGGATAGATTATGAATAAATAGATTAATGGATGGATAGAGTGATAGATAAAAAGATAACTGTACATGTAGGTAGATAGATAAATATGCATGTATGTGGATATGGATGAGGATGGATAGATGGATGAATGGATGGATAGAGAAATTTGAGTGAACAGATAGAAAGATACATGTTGATCTATGTTAACATGTACAATGCAGATAAATGCATACATACACTGTACATGAAACATAGATAAATAGATACCAATAAATGTAGCTAGATTTTATGTCAATATATACATAGCTAGATACCATTTTCAAATAGGGACTCAAGACTTGTACCGGTAAGTGGTGTGATATTTAATGCTCTTCCCTTATCCCTTCATATTAAAATTCTTGAAATTGTGATGATTGTTAAATGTTATGTTGAAATGTAATTATTTTGTTCTGGATTTATATATTTATTTATGTACATATCACCTTTATAAAATGTCCGAATTCAAATTTTATGTATTTTTTACATGACAATAAATTATCTTGAATCTTGAATATTTGTTTTCCACAGGATTGCCAAACTGAAAGGGGTAGGTCAGATCGAAGTTGGAAAGAGAGCCGATCTCCTGCTCTTTGACATCGATCTCAATCTCAAGAAGACATTCATCTGTGGTAATGTCAAGTACAGTGCAACGTGAGAAAACCCTTTCCAAATGTTTTTATAGTGTTCCAGTAATTTGAGAGTTATCGTTTTTTGTTATTTGAATCATTGCATTCTATTATAGAGTGTTTTTCTCACGTATCTACTATACCCACTAATAGCTACCATATGTGCGTTCTAATATGACCACCCAAAATCCTTTCCAAATGTTTTTACAGTGTTCCAGTAATTTGAGAGTTATCATTCTTTGTTATTTGAATCATTGCATTCTATTCTAGAGGGTTTTCTCACTTATCTATGCCAAAATACTATACCCACTTAGCTGCCATATACCGGTATGCGTTTATGACCACCCAAACTCTTGTACGACAAGTCCAATTCTATTTTGTCCTATACATTATCAATTACATTTAAGATTTCACTGTTTCTGGTAAATTTATCAATGTGATAGCTCTACCAGAGTCTGAACTCAGACAAAACATCAAATAAAATATCAGATTCTCATCTGTTTTTGTTGTTCATGATTGCATAATATTATTCAACAATACTTTATGACGTATGGGACATACCTAGAATTTTCCTGATATCAAAGATAAAGATGAGTTTTGGTAATGCGATTGCATTGTGAAAGAAAAGGTGTGGAATGGATCAGAAAGAGTTGATCATGTAGCATCTAAGTATTGGTTGCACTGCAAGGTTCTGGAATCATCAAAATCATAATAAATTTGGCCCAGTCTTGGTAAAGTAACAAGCACTAGGCTACCCAGAAAGATGTATATGGGACTACACAAATAGTGTCGGGGCTAGCTTACCTTGATTTCTTAATCTTTCTATGCCGATTACTCAGCCAGTATACATTTTCTTCCAAAATTGTTTAGCTCATGACATTTATTTGTAATCTTACAAGTTACGTTTGATTCTGTGAGAATTCATTTTCTTTTTTTACCAGAACTCAAGTTTATCTTTAAATATAATAATTTTTTTGACTATTTTAGAAGCTGGTTATTCTACTTAAAATTTTTCTCAAAATTCAAAAGAAGTACATTTATTTTAAAGTATATTATATTGGAATGCCACTTGTGCACGCGTAGACAATTAAAAAGTAACCCCGATGTAAAAGTAGCATTTTTGATATATTCTGTAATGAATATTGGTACACTTAAAGTGGGATTGTAAAAGTTTAAATGAGCTGTGTATACATGTACCTTACGTTGTAGACCAAAAATGAAATCTGTTGGCTTGCAATTTGGAATGTTTATTGTTTGTATGTATCTACCAATATGCGATAATCAAGTCAAAATTAACCAGATATCTGATTGTGTAAATTTAACTGTAAGTAGCTGGTTTTAAGAAGGTAAAGAGTAGAATTGCTGAAATGTACAGGGGTTAGAAAATGTTAGTTGTAGTAAAATTGCTCACCATCGTGTATTAATGTAGAACTTATCCAAACCGAACTTTTCTCTGGAAGCTTCTCAGTTTTGAGAAATAACATACATGTATACAGTATTATTTTTTATAATTCTCTTGATTAAGAATGTTATGCATTATGTTATGTGCTTAGATTCGCAAGTGTGCGCATGTAAACATGACGCCTGGCTGGAATGCTCCCCAGGGAGTGGAGAATGTGTATTCATTGTGTGCGGGTAAGCCTGAATCCGATGACTGGGGTAATAAAATGATCGCAGGGCCCTCAGGGAGAACAGTATGCATACTGATGAGGCTACCCTGGGTAAACAAGACATATTATTATTATTATTATTATTATTATTATTATTATAACATATAAGAGGTCCAAGACTTCTGATTTGACCTAATTTTGTATCATTTTTTTTTCACTCGTAAGCATAGATTCTTTTCAAATGTACTGAAGCTTAGTATACACAACTACAACAGGCTGTACCTCAGGGAGAAAAATACTTCCTACAATTTTTTTTTGGGGGGGAGGCTACTCAAGCTTGCTTGCATGAAACTCGTTAATTTGTTTTGCATCGAACTCTATGCGAATTTGGAGGGCTCTTTTATGACTCTCGGGGGCTCTTTTGGGCATTTCGGGGGCTAATTTGCCCCGAGCCCCCGTGTATTTTACCTACATGTATTACATACTACAGTGGAAATTCATTATCAAGAGCTCTGGTGTAACAAGGTATGCATTATACAGTAACAAGGTGGTTTTGCTGGTCCCAGCTCTTTATATTCTGTGTTTTTTACCCGGATATATGATTCCTGATATAACAAGGTAATTTCCATGGTCCTAAAGGTAAAGGCCAGTTATGGTCATGCGATTGCATTGTGAAAGAAACGTTGTGGAATCGATCAGAAAAGGTTGATCATCTAGCATCTAGCATCTGCAAGGTTCTGGAATCATCAAAATGATAAGAAATTTGGCCCATTCTTCGTAAAGTTACAAGCACTATACACAGAAAGATGTATATGGGACTACCCTATATCTCTCACAGACCAAGAGAGAAACAAATTTACCAAATATATGAATTAGTAGGCGGTTTCCCGGCAAATTTTTTATCATCATGTATTAGTCAAAACATTCTTTCACATGATTGGTAATGAGAGCTTCCATTTCATTTTTTGAAATTGGGGCGTTTCCAATACTGGTCTTTACCTTTAAGGACCTTGCTATAACGAGTTTAGTTCACACTGTACAGCAGTAGTAGTAATAGTATTAGACTGGTTTTACTTGAAAATTATCACACGGTGAACTTATGTGCCTTGAAAATATGTTGCCATTCTATGTACATGTACATGTACATGTAGGTGTAACGAGTGCTGAATATCTTCAAATAATTTTGCCAAACATTCCTCTGAATATTCACATACCTGGGGGTGTTTCACAAAGATCCCAAGTTGAACTTATCTCTAAGTTGGACTTAACAATTATGGAAAGCCATTAGCATCTAGGAAAATATTTTGTAAAAGTTATTTTGAAAGGCATCAAAGGTTGATTCAAATCATTCATATTTTCTTTTATCAAGGAGATTTCATGTTCTTGATGTGGAATTGATAAAAAGTCTGAAATACTTGAATTTTTGCTTTTGAGTATATTTTATTTTAAGGCTGCAAATGGCTATCCATAATGTTTAAGTCCAACTTAGAGTTCAGTTTGACGTATGATCTTTGAGAAACACGCCCACGTAGGCCTATTTACTGTATTGTTTTTTTTTTCTTCCAATTTAATGTTCAGAAACCTTTTCAAGCCAAGCTGAATATGAACTGGGATGAAAATATGTATTGGTGATAAAATCACATATTGCTTTGGAAAATTACTTGTTACCATTGAGTTTTGTTTGACATAACCTCGATATAAGTTGATGTACATGTTGGATTGTAACTTGGGTAAATAAAACTAACATTAGATGCCTTTGTGTAGTGCAGCTACTACATAAATAAACTCTAGTGCGCTTGATACAAAGTATCAACTTTTTACCCTGGCTTTAGCAAAGCCAAGTGATGAGGCACTATAAAAAGCATTCAAGGAATTTTATCAAATCTGGTCCCCATTTACTTCACCTGGGTCGAGTGCGGAAAGTGTAGATTAATGCCTTGCCCAAGGATGTTGGTACTGAGGCAGGGATTCTATTATACTCTTTGGAAGTGCAGCCATTGGTAGTGTATTTTAAGCCCCACTGCACTACTTATAGCTACTTGCGCCCTCTATATACAGTACATGTAGCAAACAATAACTAATCGGTGACCATTGGTCCCCCATGATCCTCTTTTGTTAATTGAGAGCTGATTTGATGAGATAACCACCTGTCAGTGATCTTGCAGAGAGGTCTAATCCCTCCTGGCCAAACTAGTGCAGAGTGGGGCTTTAAGTATCAAGAAATGTATGGGAAGCTATTTTTTTATTTTGCTTATTGCAACAATCATAAAATAAACAGATTACCAAGAATTACCAAATATGGCATTGTATGTGATGGCATTTAAAATGAAAGTTTTTCACTTTGCATTTTTGTATGTACATTTATTTTTCATTATTAGGATTTTAAAGAGAAAGTCCACCCCCAAAATAAGTTTGTTTCGATAGAGGCAGAATAATAAGAAAATCAGGTGAGTGAAAGTTTGAGCAAATTCTGAATGAAAATAAGAAAGTTATGAATTATTGAAGTTGTGATCAATCAAATACAAATTGGCAACTCTGTGACTTATTATACGAGCTCTCCTTCCTTTGCTTTGTGCATAATATTCCATAAAATCATGTTTTCTTCGTTATTGATGACGGAATATATATTTGTTCCTTGCAGGGGGAGTATAGAAACATATTTGCAATTATTATATTTAGGGTGCATGTATGGTTGAAATTTTTCTTGAGGGAAAATGAAAATTTTAGATTTTTTTAGTACTGAGCAAATGGAAGTTGAGCTCGCATGATACGTCATAGAGTTGCCAATTTGTGTTTGATTGATCACAACTTCAAACATCCTAACTTCCTTATTTTTAATCGGAATTTGCTCAAACTTTCACTGACTTGTTTCTCTCATTTTTCTACTCCTATTAAAACTAACTTAATTTCAGGGTGGACTTCCCCTTTAAATGCCAAGGTTTGCAGAAATATTGAACAAATGGAAAGTAATTGTGTCTGGAGTTTGAAACATTATTCACTATGCTTTGTAAAATTTCAATAAACTCAATATTGTATATTCATATTTTAGTCTGGTAGTGTTTGATTTTGATCTGTAATAATAATAATAGGCATTTCTATAGCGCCGTCTATCTAGAAATTCTATTCCGAGGCGCATTCATTATTACCCCGGCTTTAGAGTAATACTAAACTGATATCAAGCTATATGCAGAGCTGCCAACCTTGTACCACCAAAAAAAGGAACCATGAAGGCAAAAAAAAAGGAATTTCAAGCAAAGAAAGGAATCCATTGAAACGAAACTTACAACCACGCACGACAAACTTCCAATGCAGAAATGTCCATTCCTCATGCTGTATTTTTTTCATGTTAGGACCTATAGTTTATTTGCAAGTAGGTATTTTGTTGTTATTTTCGTATTATCAGCGTTTCATTCTTTTTGAGAAA